CTATGAATGACATAAAATCTTTATATATCTTATATATATTCATGCGGCCTGAATCTATAGTAATTACAAGTAATAATTAATTACAATGACGGAATGCTGATGCCTAAACAAGCATAACTGTAAGATATATGTTTGAAACAAGCTCAACCAACAGCTCAGAACTAGTTCAGCAGACTGCTGGGAACTTTTTGTACTTGTACTGGAAAAGTACAAGCTGCAATATCTGAAGTGAGTGGCTATGGAAAAAGTTTTAATCGCGTATAAATTAAGCGAGTACCCGCATAAACATGCGATTATTGTACATACATTCAACAGTTTATTATTCTTGTTCCCCATACGATTATTTAATTTTTTTTCCTTGCCCGATTAGTACAAGGCAAACGGCTTGAATAGATTTCATACCCAGCTATCTACATATATGCATATGTATACATATACATACTATACATACATACTATATATGTATAGTATAATAATTATTTACTGTACTTGTGCTTAATCGCGTTATAAACATCGGTTGCAGCCCCAAAATGCAATAAACATGGCATTGCAGGCATGCTCGTAAAAGCGAAACCCAAGCCCATCAATTATTAGTATTAACAGGCCTGTTTCTCAAATTAAGGGGAAACGACCGTTTTGCATAAAAAACAAAAACAAACGATCGCTGCATTTGCATTTCAACTGAAAATCACAAAATAATGTGCCACTACGTATGGGAATGACTTGCGGACTTGGAGATCTGCACTTAGAGTCCGATTTGAAAAAAGTATACAAGTATGTACGTATGAGTACAAGTACGTATAAAAATAAAAAAGCGAATGTGTGAATGACACGCCCAACTAATGATGAGTATCATGCTAACGAGCTAAGCGTTAAGACTTTGCTTTAACTAGCAAAGAAGAACAAAGACGGTCGTTTTAGAGAGGTGCCAGGAATTGTAATAGAGGTACAACCAATAACAAATACGATAATGTGAAATCCACACTTTACATGACAAAACACACATGAGGAGAATTTAAACAAATGATCTCAAAATGCTATTTACACTTGACAAGTGATATCATCGCATGTTGGGTGGCCAATTACTGGCAGTAACATCAATAAATCAATCAAAACTCAATTGTGGAAAATGGATCTTACGAGTTTAGGTAAACAAATCAGCTACTTGTATTAATTGCCCCTTATATGACTTAAGTGCAACTGTATAAGTGCATAAAGAATTAGAACTATTAAAAGTGGGCTTATAAATTTAATAAAACATTTCTAATTACTACATTCCACATGTTGTACTTATAAACCTTAGAAGCAAATAATTGCAATCTCGACAGCTCGGATATTTGTTAGTTTATTTCCATGCCAATTATTTTTAGACTAATTACGATAAACTGGTGATGTGGACATGCGAAGTTCTAGTTCCAGGTGTTTCAATAAAGATTTTAACTAATCTTTAATCGATCTTAGCTTTTTGATGATGATTTCGTTTGACTTCCACTCTCACAATTTCCAACTTTAACATAAATGTAAGGCCAGATTTTCTAATCGTAATATTTTAGAGCATATAAACGATGGGTAAGGTATATCGTGAGTTAACGATTACAAAAACAGGCCCCAATCACACACAACGCTAATATATTCGCAGAAGCATGATTGAAGTTAATTAAGTTAATTCTGTAAGTGTAGCCTCTTATAAAAAATAATTAATAAAAAATTACAATTATCTATCATTTATCTATTTTGTGCTAGATATATGTAGTTTATTTTCAATTATACAGAACCTAAACAAAATTATATCCTAATGCATTTTAAGAGTAAAAACAATAAATAATAAATTACATAAACAAATCAAGTAGCGGCATCTCTTAATTGCCCCTTTAACTTTAATTACCCCTGACTTAAGCGACAATTACTGGAAGTGCTTTTAAAAGTGGTTGGCTTTTAAAAGTGGGTGTGCAAAGCTAATTAATTTCTACAACATATAGAGAACAATAACACATCAATTAAATAAGATATTACAGGTTTTAAATGTTAGGAGAAATAAATGCTAAATAAATAAATAAAATATTAGCTGTTCCAAGACATAATAATACCTACCATTACTAATGAAATAAAAATGCCAGAGGGTTTCATACAAATGGTTTGAAGGGAACGTTTTCCACACGGATATGGCTTAGGGATGTAGTAATGCAACTAATTTGCTTTGCGTTAATAATTAAAAAAGGAATTCCGTCTATTCGAAACTTCCCATTTAGTATGAGAAAATGAAAGGATTAATAGTTGCCCGATTTGAAAAAGAAGAACCATTCCATTTCTGTCAGCCGGGCAAGGAAACCTCCACCAACCCCAGCTGGTCAACAGATCAGAAGCAATGTGCCGAGATGCACCTAATTGTACACAAACATATATCTGAACTTATTTACATACATATGTATAGTATATTTGTATTATATATGCAAGTTGTATATTTAAAAACCACTGTCAAGTCTCAATATCTGTTAACAATTTTATCAACTGTTATAAAGCCAACGAATTTCATATATGTATGTATAGTATATAAGCATAATTATATAACGAGACAAACCAGACAAATCTGCAAATCAATTATATAATGAATAATATCCAGGATGTTTAGCGATACTTGTTTAATCGACAAACCAGCATCAACGTCTATTGTGTGCTATTCTAAAAGAGTTTGCGACAGCTTTAAAGTCATATGAGATCTCAAAAAAGTTGCTGCTGAATTTTTTCAAAGTCCAAACTTTATAGGTCAAGTTAGAAATATTGCAAAAGCAAACAAGTAACTGAAATATTATTTTATAGGCCACAAAAACGTGTATTTAAGCTCGACATGATGCAACAGAATTTGCATATTTAAAGCAACAAAATTGTTTTTTTTTTTTTAAAGTTTTAGAATACGGAGCGGCCGGTTTTTATTAAGAACCGCTCCGAAATGCCAACCAGTTTTTGCTTTTTTGCTGTCCATCATAAAAACGTGGCGTCAGTCAAGTAAATAATTCACCAAAAAAATTGAAAAGACAAAAATCAATTTAACAATTTTTTCCGCTGTTCTTTATCCTTCACTTGATAAGCTAATTTTTGAATAAATACCCACACATACATACATATCAATACATATATGTACTTAAAGACAAACGCGTCTCAGCCAAGAATCGGACCCACCGAGATGTTTGACTGGTTTACTAAAAACCAGTGTATTGAACAGCTCAGTTTTTGGAAACTTTTTTGTTTACATACTACTATTCGACTAAAGTCGGTATTCGCTGTTCAATTTGTTGTGTATTCATTACGCTTTTTTGCCGCAAGGTCGCAAGTTTTAGAATATATTGCAAACAGCCAAAAATCAGTTAAGCCAACAGCCGATGAGGCACAAACGAAAAGTGAACGAACGCAGTCAGTTCTTCTCTTTTTTTTTTGTGTCATTAGCACTACAAGCGGCGCTGTCTTTAATATTTATAAGCCAGACATTGAGACGGATTCGGTGTGATCGTGAATAAACAGCAACAGTGCGAAAGCAACACAAAACCCAACAAAACACAACTGAAAATTATATGCAATCAAAAACCAGTGCGTGTCAAACGCAAAAACCTTCAAGTGTCAGAGCACAGTGCGAAGATACTTGCAGGGCTGACGAAGCGGGTGGCGGACTAATAGTCTAGCAAAGCACAGTGGGCCAAAATATTGGCAACCAGTAAGCAGTAAAGAAATAAGTTGGGGAATAGTACCCATAAGAAAGTTCCGAAATATTTAAAGAAATACAAGTAAGTGAGGAAAAATTTAATAATCATAGCTAATTTAAGCAAGTTCAGAAATATTTAAAAAATATAAGTTCGGAAATAATACTCATAGCTAAGACATAATTTGAAAAAGCTCAGAAATATTTAAAGAAATAAGTTGGGAAATGGTACTCATAGCTAAGACATAATTTAAGAAAGTTCAGAAATATTTAAATAGTTAGCATTTTGCATTTCTTTAAATAATTCTATAAAATAACAATGGAACTTACTGAAGAAGATTAAAATATACAACATAATACTATTGTTAAACCTTAAATTTAGTCAACAAATAAATAAATAAATATAATATATAAGTGAAAATCGCAAAATTAGTTTTGCGTAGAAAAATATTTAATTTTTACATAAGTTGAAGGAAATAATAATATTGGAGACTAGTTTTTAAACAAAAATGAATACGCAAGAGTTTTCCAATCTGCTATAATGCATAAAACACTTTTAATGTTTTCCCAATCCAGTCAATAATCGAATAATAAAATCATTATTATTGAATTAAAATTTTGTTAAAAATAATACACAATTTCAACGAAAAAATGTTATTCAGCAGCAAAATAAAAGCAATCTTGGGCAATACACAAACTATTCGCCACCCACTGTGCCCCCCCGGATTGGACTCGATTTTCATTGTGAGCTATGCTACATTTATTTTGAACAACCTTAATATAATTATATATAATCACCAGCAATGCCGAGGCGCAAGTGCAACATTTTTAGATTGTAAAATTTGAATGGCGGCAAAGTTAAGACGTCTAATTATGAATGGAAATGAAATGAGCGAGAGCCGTATCGTACTATATGCATAAATTTGGGCACGCGTTGTCGTAATGCAGCCATGTGGTTATTGTTTTTATTGCCAAGCTAAGCAGGCGGTAAGACGGCCAACAAGTAACAAGCCAAAATTGTTTGCTGTGGCAGCCACAGGCACAGCCAGAGCGACAGCCAAAGACCACAGACCTGCAGAGACCTGCACAGACCTGAAAAGACCTGCCAGATCTGCGAGGCAGGGGCAGGCCAAAGAGACGGACGCCAGAAAGTGTGTCACCAGCAACGTGCGCGCATGAGCAGAGTAACAACAACAACTCCAATAACAAATACAACAAATGCCCAACAACAAGGGGGGAAACCGTCAATGCTTTCGTACACACATTGTTGACCCGAAAGCCTTTATGTAAAAACCCAGTGGGAACTTACCGCAAAAATTGTTTAATTTAATGTAGATGTACGTATAAAAAAGTAATGTACTATACAGTTGAAAGCCAACACAGATTTCACGTTGCACGCACACACACACACACGCACTCAACACAACTTCACAACTTTGCGACGCGCATGCGTTTTGCAACTTGAGCGATTGACAAACTGACAGAGTGACAGTCAGGCAGACAAGCAGTGAGCAATGAATATGGGCAGGCGTAGGAAGAAGCACAATGTTTTGTTCAAAATGTACACATTTATGCGCAAAAAGGCAGGACGCGGCACAAAAGTTGAAGAACACGCGGCGTATACGAAACACAAAACACAATCCCGACTGACTAACCAACTTCCAGAGGGCACGTCCAAATTGCAGCACGCTTGAAGCAACTCTGACGAAGCGACCGACTCGAAATTTATTAGGTAGCCAACCCGAGCTTAACCCAAAGCACTCAAACAAAAAAATATCTAAATTAACTGCTGCTGCTGCTGCGAATGACAAAAGCTTTCATTTCATTGTGCACGCAGCGCTGCCAACTTATCTAAAGCCCCGGAGCTTTGCTTAAAACTGCAGAAAATGTGGGGGGGGGGTGCGAGCTTTTGCGTGCATATCTGACAAAAACGAAACCAACGACGACTTTAATAAACTTTTCTTTGAACAAGCAATATGAGAAGAATAAAAACATGCATTTAGTTGGACACAGTGGACTATAAAACACCCTGCAGCATGAAATAACTGCTATATGACGGGTTAGGGTGATTTGATATAAATAAATGCATTTGGACTTTAAATAATCTTTTTAAATTTGTGGGGCGCCTTTTAAATGTTCACAATATATGAAGAAACAAAACATAGCCCGGTTCGACAGAGTACACCTTAAGATGTCCTACAGCGTGAACGAATTGAAATATGACAGCTTTATGATATCAGAAAACAAAATAGCCGACACAGCGCCTAACTTTCAAAATAAATATGCAAAAGAATTGATGTTTTAAGTCGCTAGATTTGAAGATATCCTATATTATGAATATTATGATTAAGTTATTTGCCTTAAGAAATTAAAACAAGCATTCGAAATATGCCATTGCAAAATAATAGACTCAAAGAAATTGATTTTAAAAATTCATTAATATTGTATAATTATAAATTAAAGCTGTGCTAATTAAGTTAATCATTTAACAAAATTCGTAAATATTTTTTTATTTATTATAGTCGATATATATGTATATACTATATAGTATAGCGCTTTTATCAGAATATACATAGTAGAACCTTTTTTTTACGTGAGTAATCGCCCTACATAACAACTTCTTAACGTATCATTATATAAAGAATTTTGAAATGGTTGGAAAAGGTTATACAAGTTCTTACTTTAAGCTAACTCTAACAATAATGTATGAACAAATGAAAAAGTTAAAACTTTTTAATGATATATGTGAAAAGGCCACTCAAGAACCGTATCTCCTTTTGATTAAACGTTAATGGAATACTTATACGATATTTAAGCGCTCTACGTTTTATATTGCTCGAGGTCAAGGCGTTCTAATATTTGTCAACTTCATTCCTTAATTCGCATCAATTCGAAAAAGAAAACAATAGCTAATGCTAAAGTATTAGAGGAATATTTAAATGACGTTTCAACTGTTTGTGCATCATATTCTTCAAGATTCAGGCCTTCATGTCGAGCTTGCTGAAAGGTCCGTTTCCTTATTCGTATATTGATAAAAGTCCCAATGTACAACAAATTATTTAGTTGATGGTCTTCAAAAGCATCCACTAGTGAAATACTATAACTAATAAAAAACGGTGCAAACAGATTAGCATACTATTTATTTAGAATTTAATACATTTCGTAATTTCGATTCCACATAAGGTGATCAAATTAAAATTCGTTGTATTTTTTCCCCTCTTTAAACTCAAATGCCGCATAATCATTAAGTAGTGTACAAGAATTTGCTTTTGTTTTGGTTTTGGTTTACTTTGCACAAAATAACAAAAGAAAACATTGTGATTAGTGTGGCGCGATAACTGAACTAGTTATAGTTTAACGCAAGCAAGTTATCAATTAATAGTAGTTGGGCCGGCAGCTTGGCATCAATAACCTAACGGGTTGTTCCACTTGATTGAGTTTGTTGATCAAATTGAATTAACACCTATCTCGAAATTAAAAATCACTTTTATTTTCGTCTCAATTTTCAGCGAACAAAGCAGTCTCAGCAGAAAAGAGCGGAGCAATCTTTTGTTTGTTTTCGCTTCTTGCATTGACTGTCAAGGGCAGTTCGGGTGAAGTTCATGAATCGAATTCGGTGTGGAGGACAAGCCTCGCATATCTCCCAATTTTCTGCAGTTATGCAAAATCCAAGCACACATTTCTTGACTTTTCTTTTACGCGTACACATATTATAGTTGTAGTTCGACTTTGAACACCCAGTTCTCTAGATTAGAGCTTTGCTTATCTACATATTTTTGCAGCCATAAAAAACATTGTGTAATTGGTAATTGGTAAAAATGCCATATAGATAATATTGGCCAATGCTTCTTCTTAAAATATAGTATACGAGTGTATCGTAAGTTGATTAATCACTCGTTATATTATGCAAGCTTGCCTCTATTTAGATTAGAAATGACAGAAACAAAACATATAACAGTTGTCAAAGGGGGGCAAACATTTAATTTAGTGAGTTTTTTGCAAATATTTTTGCAATTAGCAGAAAACTGTTTATAAAATGAGGAAGTCTTCTTTAATGGATGTTGAAAAAAATACTTAATACTTATATTTAATCCACAACAAAGCTGAGCGAGAATAACAATTCAACATACTTGTACTATATGTTCATGAATTGGCGGCAATGCTGACCCTTGTTTCGAAACGGAGAGTAGGCGAATAAACAAATCTTTTTTAAAGCACATTACTTTTTATTTATTATACATATATACATAATAAACAAGAATCGAGATGGTCTTATAGTATTCGAAATCATTACATATTAAGTGAAAAAATATAACAATTAAAGAAGTTTTAAACAAAAATTCATAAATCTAAGCTATAGTTTCTCTTTATCCAAAGTTTCCTATAGCTGATGTAGTGGTGATAAATGCAAAGAAAACATGTATAAATATATTTTGTTATTAAACAAAGTTGTTTAATTTAGTGGAAATTTTAAAGGGAAATGGGCTTTTTTTTAGAATTTTTTTTTTTAAATAAAACGCTATTTTAAAATAATATTCTTAATTTGAAAAAAATTTTATTAAGATTAAGATAAAACATAAATTTGTAAGTTTAGTGGAGAATATATAATTAATAAATGTTATTAATTTGAAAAAAGTTTTTTTAAGATTTAGATTTTGTGTTTATTTGTGTGGAAATTTAAAAGGGAAATGAGCAAATGTTTTTGTGAGAATCTATTTAAATAAAACGCTATTTTAATAAATATTATTAATTTGAAAAAAGTTGTATTAAGACTGTTTAATATAGAATTACCAAAATAAAGATAATGACATGTAATATTAATATTTAAAAGTAGCTTTAATAAGAGCTTCACTTTATCATATATTTTGAGATCGACAAACTAAGGCGCTCAGCATGTACGCCTAGTTTTTTGGTTGCTATCTGTGATACGTTTATCATTTAAAACAATTTTCCATTTACACATATTTTCCATTTACAGGGCTTTAACGAACAGGATAGTCTGCCTCTACATCTACTGGCAATGAAACTGTAATCAAACATCCGGATTCTGATAAAATGTTTGCCAACACTTGAAAATATTTGCCAATACTTGAAAAAGGTGTGATTAGCTACAGAGAGAGAAAGTAGCAAGCACCCGACTTTTAAACTAAAGCACATAAATGTGTATTGTTCCAAAATCATTAATTCTCAAGCTTAAATACTCTTGTAATGTTCTTTCTACAGAATAACTAGCAGCTCTTCTGAATGAACATTTTCACCTACTAGCTCGTACCGCTCATTCAGCACGCTGTCAAAGTCTGCCTTTTATTGTCTAGCCAGACTGACAAGCACGCCGAGTGTTACAATAAACTATTTACTTTCTTAATATTTCACATGTCTCTCATAAAACTATATTAAACAGAACTGTCATTATGACATCATGATTCTAGCGCCCAAAGTCCAAGTTCCAGTTTGCTTACATTTTGTATTTATAAAGTGACTGGTCAGCCAATGATTACGCTATAAGTATAAGCATTTAGATATATATAGTATATGTATGCACATGTGTTTATGTGAACTTGTAACTGTTTATTACAATGCGCAGTAGCTGAAGGGCTCCACTTGAGTCACACCCAAGCAAAATCCGTCTTGGCGATAATAAATTTCATTTGAAAACCAACAAGAAACACAATAATCTTGAAGGCATAACAAGCTAATCTTGTATTTTAAAATGAAACAAGAATGTACTTGACTTCTAAGGAACCTATTCATACATCTTTAATCATTTTTAATGTTATATACAAATAATTTAAACAACAACGTGCAACAACTAGTTATTGCCAAGATTTATAATTGCAACTTACTTAGGTTCGACAAAAGGAGCGTTTTCTTCTCATCCTTCAAATTTTTCCACTGCTCTAGATGCCGTAATAGTCTTAGTAATAAATTAGCGTTCACAAATATCTTAAATATATATAGATATATTTTAAAAAACTAAGCTAATCTGAAGAAAAGCACTTGTCGCAACAGCCCCATTTCATATAAAGGATTATTCTATCGTTGTTCAATGTTTTTGTAAAGAGCTTCAAATTGAATTTAAAATACAGTTTATGGCACTTCATTTTTATAATATTTGAGCTATGGAGTGAGTTATGAGAAATCGCTAAAACGTGGGGGCTTGGGAGAAACACGATACCGAGATTGTTTATTATAGATATTACAATTTTCAATATCAATTCACACGTACAAACAACACACAAACAGACTCCTCTCATCATTCTGGTCAAAAATATATTTACTTTGCGAATTAAAAACATCTTTAAGATCAATAAAAAATGCCTTATATACATAAGTTATAATTAATTTCACGAAATAGAACTAAACATTATTTTTCTTGTTTCATAAAAACAAACAACTTGCTAAATGGAATAGAAATACTATTTTCGCTTAAATATAAATTTTCTCTTGTTGTGGTTCTTTTAAACTTATTTATTCTAAAAGTTAAAAACTTGATTCAAAACAATTTTATAATTTTAAAGATGTCACAACAAGTGATTTGTTTTCCTCGCCTCAGCTGTCCTTGAATCAGTATTTCCATTTAGATTTACTCCATCCCATCAGTTAGTTGAGCAAGCTTCTGATGTTTCTGATGAAGACAGTCTGAAACGTATTCCACAGATTTGTTCTCAACTCACTTTTTATAATTAACTTTATTGTTTATGAGGAGAATCTGAAGCGTCTCCCAAAGATTTGCTTTTCTGATCAAAAGGGTATGGGGGTGTCCAAAGTTTTGATTTTAAGCCGCTCGTATTTCAGCCCCTTTATTGTGTCTACAAAAGTTTCCTGAAAACTTTCAGTTTTAGTTCAAAGTCTAAACACGAGCGGTCAAAAAACGAAATTCTAGGTAGTGTTTGGACCAATAAAATATTTATAAGTCCATATCTGGACTTTATCTAAATTGTAAAAACATTTGATGTGTAACTTTGTATTTCTTAGGGACTTATTCATCAGATCTTAGCCGCTTGGCAAACAGTTGCTGATATACACATCTATACATACAAACATATAAGTAGTAAGTACATATATATTGCCAACCAATACAGAAATCATTTAGAAACTAATACTCACAATCAACAACAGCAAGTGCTGTTGAATGGGTATGAATCGATTGCACCCACCTGTTTGTTGTTAGCCATTTGGCAAAGTTCATTAATAAAATACAAGTAGTAAAGGCATGATTTGTAAATGGATTATGTGACTAAACATAAGCAAATGTATATATGTAAGTATAGTAAGCATATATTGAGTGTGAAGTGGGAAATAAACATGACACCCACAATAATAGAGGTCTGTTGATAGCTCAGCAGCTGGGTGGGAGATGCTCTTGAGATAAGCGCAGCCGCATTTCTCAAGCTCCAATTGTTTCAAGCAACAACAAAAATATATCAGTTTTTTTACACTTGAAATTGAAAATAAGTTAGTGGCACACAAACACACTTAGCAATGCATGCGAACTGTGCCTGGGTGTGAGTGTGTGTGTTATCTTTTAACATATTTATGTGCTCATTAACGAAAGCAAAAACAGAAGCTCGATAAAGCGGCTTGCTCAGTAGCAACAATAACAACAACCACTACAATGGGCAGCAACTAAGCAACAACAAATAAATACGAAATCCAAATACTTGAACAGCATTGAAAACAAAGAAAAGGCGACGTCGACGACAATAATCGAATCAAGTGCGCAGACTTTGCCCTATGACTATATACTAGTCGTCCGTCAATCGGTCGCTTAGTCAATCAGTCAGTCCCTCAGTCAGTGGCTACTCTGCTTAGGCGCTGCTTAAAAGCTCAGCCAGCAGAGACAGAGGCAGCAGCAGCAGAGCGCAGCTGCAAGCATGGAAAACGGAGCAAAAATATATATTTATAACTATGTATATATGTGTGTGTACCACGTAGATTCGATTTCAAAAACAAGCTAACAATAACAACAATGTGAACACGTTTAGCGCTCGCAATACAATGATCAGTCAGAACAACAACAACACCAACAGCAGCAGTTATTATAAAAACAATAACAATACACCTGCACCTTTCATGCGTAGTCGAACAACAAAAATTTAGCAATACATGAAAATAACTGCCGCATTGATAAATGAAAGCACACACACACAAAGACAATACAGTTATTGGCCTTTTGTCTCTGTGTGTGTTTTCTTTTTCTTCCTTCCAATGTTTAAGCAACAACAACCACTGGCAGCCCACCCGCGCACAACGGTCAGCAACAGCGACGCTGACATCGACGCAAGACGCGTGCGCCGCCTAATCGATGATAAGATTAGTGGCTCGCAGCACGCAACTGCGCAGCTGCAGCGCTGCTAACGATTACGTCGCCATTTTTACTAAGCTGTTGTAGTTGTTGTTGCTGTTGGCAGCAACACTTTGTCTTTCGTTGCCACTGATAAGAACTACAAACATTATGATCAACTGAATAGATACAATAAATATAATAAACAATTTCTGTTAAGGCATTGAATGCATGGGAAGAGTAAATGGCTATTGTAGAAGCCTTCTTCACTCTTCTTGCATGCACCATGCCGAAATCGTTTACCAACACTACCCCAAATAATACGACTGGAGACAAGAGTCTGTGTCGCTGTAAAAGCTTCTGCTTTAGGGATTTAAATAAAGGACTGAAGAACAAACTAACGGCGTTTTGGTTTGTTGCACTAAAACTAAGTGAATTATTTTCTGCTACCACAGTATTTTGAAATAATTCAGCACGGCAAGGCTATGCGATCTAAACAGACGAACTGGATTCACAAAAAAAAAGCTTGGATGGTATCTTAGTTTTGGAAAGGAGCCTTTTTTGGTTGTTATTTTTATCGCATAGTTTCCTCTCCTGCCCCGCTTTAAAACATATTTTAAAACTCCCCAGGTTTTTATAATGATTCATATACCTAGATGTGAATCAAGCGGGCCTTTTTCTGGACCCTCTTCTTGACTTTCTGAGATAACGTTTCCAGGTTTCACTTGAGGATGACGTTCAGCACCATATAGATATGATTATTCTGGAAGTGAAGGACTGCAGTGCTAGTCAAAAACGTAAGTAATACGACATCGTATTAACCCAATGGTTAGACCAACGTCTGAGAAACTATAAGAAATGGTGTCTCTTCTTTTGTTTATACTTTAAAGGGTAACCAATTGACATTAACAGCAGGCTCTTGAAAGCAGTATCGTCTATGCAAAAGTGTAGATATCCAATGAAATAACAGAATCAAAATAAAGAGTTACAAAAAATTTAATTTTAAAATGTTTACAATAAATTTAAATTTGTAAGTATGTACTTTTAATTTTTTAGTAAATATATTCATGGTATTTCACACATGTACTAATTGGCAATACCTTTAATTCTAAAAAGACTCCGTCTGTTTTTCAAACAAAACTAGCCTGCGATTTAAATCTGTTGGTAAAAATGTATTTCCATTTTGAATACAAATGAAAAACAACTGGACATATTTGATTAATCATCGGTGTTTGGAAATTCAAAGGCGTTACTAACAGAATTTAAACATTTTATTATTATTATTTATTATTGTTTGAGTCAACAACAATAATAGTTTGTGTATCGCTTCAATTACTGCTGACTTTTCAACTTGATATATCGCTAATTACCATTTCTTCTAGGCTAAACAGAGACGAGGACGACAAAGGTAACACAGCTCATAAAAACGATGACGACAATCTCAGTAATTATTTTAATAATTAAGATGACGATGATGTTGTCGATGAAAACAAAAGCGCATGCGCTGCCGCTGGGGCAGACAAAGTTCAAGTTGAAGACACTGCCTCAAAGGGCGTGAGGTGATTGACAACGACCGGGGTCTCCAGGCATATCTATGTGTGTGTGTGTGTGTGTGCTGCTACCGTCAAGTTGTTGTTGGTGTTTTGTACAAACTTCTAGTAATGCCTTCGATAAGAAATAGAACGAACTTCAAGCCGATCCGCAGCGCTGCTGTCGCCATCGACGTCGACGCCAACGCCAACGAATTCGTGATAGCGCCGCTGCCTTTGCCGCTGCTGTTGCTGCTGCTGTCAATACTACGACTTATGTACATATGTATATACATTATAGACGGGCTGGCACACAACTCACAAGGGTTTTCAAACGCAAACCAAAATTCAGTTGACTTCAAACTCACGAGCCGCGAGGAAGCAAGACAAATATTAAGCAACAAAAGAAAACATCAACTTTAAAACGCGCGTGAAAAACCGTTAGTTAGTGCGTTTAGCCTGAGAATTTCAATTGCCGCTTTTGGGAGGTAAACATCAGATTAACAAAAATTTCCGTGAAAAGAAAAAAAAATAGCAGTTAATTTTCCCCTTTTGATTGTCGTGTAATTTTCCAAACGGACCTTCAGAAGCAAAATTACCAAAGTGATTTGAAAACTAATAGAAATGCATTTTTCCACACGCAGATCTAAATACACACACACACCCACATACACACAAATATGGCAACGCCCGATATTAGCGAAGAGGCTTTCAATCTACGTCTTGGATTTTTAAAGCCCGAAACTTTGGAAATCGCCAAAAACGAACTCCGCGAAACGGAGGAAGTGAAGCAGGCGGCCATCAAGGAGCTGCGAGAACTCCTGCATGCCACTCCAGAGATCAACTACAGAGACGATGATGCCTTCCTGGTCGTATTTCTGCGCGCCTGCCATTTCTATCCAAAGAGCGCTTTGGAGAAGGTGAGAATAACTTATCACTTGGATACATTCTTTTAATGTATTGATCGATAGTGAAGAATTTGCGTTGCTAGTATTAAGGGCTTCTGTTATCGTGCTTGAAAGGGCTTTAAAGTCTGAAAGAAAGATTGCATTAAATAACTTAAATAACTTAATAGATCATAAATACTATAATGCATGAAAAAAACAGTAAAAACAGCGAGAATTAGATATCTAGAGACTTATTAAGTTTACTGAATTGTTGAATAGCAAACACAATTTAAAGCACACTCTTAGCGCTGTTTTGAACTTCCCGGAATTTTACACGAAAAAGAGCCACAGCCCAATAAGTTAAATTAACTTCCAGTTCACAAATACTGGTCTTCTCTGCTAAATCGTTGATAGTGTAATTTATTGGACTTTTTGCTGTTTCGTGTACGTTTTTAACAAGCTTAAGAACACCCCAATAGGTGTATAGTATTTTAAATTTTGCATTATTATCTGACAATTCAGATGACTCGTTTGAAAGAAGGCGAAAGAAGGGCAGAAAAGTTGTCTTTAAATAAATAAATTTTTTATTTAAATAATAAAAGAAAGAACGTCCACATTAATGAACTTTTTACACATTTTAATATAAAAACTGACCTACGAAATTTCACACTACAATGTTAAATCTATATTGCTCTTTAAAATGTAATCTTTATAATTTTTAAGACAGGCCTCCTAAAATTTCAAGAACCAACGAATGCTGATTGTTTCATCGAGTATACAAAGATATGCCTTTAAAGATAAATTCAAAATATTAGATTTCTTACCTAAGAACATTCACTATCTTTGAATAAAATATTGGATATTGAATGATATTTATTTCAAAGCAATCCAAATATTAAACACTATAGAAATAAGCAGTCCTATTTTATCTGTATAGCTTAAATGACACTTGACTAGTACCTTTCTTCAAAGGCCTTCCTAACTCAGAGATAATGTCAATTACTTATCTTTAATGCATAACCAGAAAATCAGACAAAAAGTTGGTTCTCTCTACAAGCAGTCATATAGAAAATACTTTTCCATCCACCATCTAAATTCTTTTGATGTAGCATCTATCCTCGTCTATCCTCAAATCTGCTCTCGAATTCTATGCATTATCTTTAATGCACGAAAACATGTCAGGCGGCTATTTTTATAATCAAATCTGGCACATAGTTTCTACATAGCATCCGCACTAAGCTCTACTTAGCCACCACATGACGTCTGTAGTTGGCGGCTTATCAGTGTGATTGAAATAATTTATTGACAAGTCTGGTCTCTGAGACGCCTTGCAACTAAATACATGGGGAGTCTTGCTGCTTATCTTTAGAACCACAAACAGTCCCATTGCTTCGATTGCTGATCTTGGCAAAACTCAGCTATTGAATGTCGTCAAACAAAACAGTCAACGATCCCCCCACCTATAATCTCTCGAAGTCACCTCAAATGCTCCCTTACCCTGCCATTATCTATCACCGATTCCAAGCCCTGCTTCTCTCTTCTTATCTCTTCTTCTGAGACATTTTCCAATGAGTTCTATGACCTCAGCTGAGAAAACGCGTTAGTAAAGGCACGTTCCCTGTTGTGTCCAGAACTGTAACTATATGCGCTGACTCAGTAAATCCCGCTTCTCTTTCCGAGAACTTGGACAGGGGAAGAAGAAGAAGAAATTGTATGACAGCGCACGTAGCCTCGTCCAATGAATGCGAAGCGGCGACACAAATTCTCGAATTGATACGATTTTGAACCCGCTGACATACAAAACCATTTGGCAAAGCGGGCGCGATAAGCGCCAGCGCAACAAAATCGAACCAAATATAACCTAGCTTCCATGTATATATAGAGCAAAGCTATATAAATAATGCATGATGCCAATGTGCTCATGAGCTGATGTCTCTTTTCTGCATTGACGTGGCCGCGAACCTTCAACATGCCAGCCATAAAACTAAACACAGGCGCCATTTTCCTTTTATCACATCACATAACAGTACTTTATTATTATTTTATGATGGACAAATGGTCAGCTTATCAGTTACCAACTAGTATTTATAACGCCTACAATTCTGAATAACTATTTTTGGTAACTATTTCTTTGTAGATGAAAAGCACCGCCAGCTTCCGCAAGGAATACGCCGACCTAGTCCATGGCCTGTTGGTCGAACACGTGAAGGAGAAGTTCATTAAGGGCAGCGTCATTAATGTCCTGAAGAACTGTGATCAGAAGGGACGTCGTGTCCTGATCGTTAACTGCGGCAAACTGTGGGATCCCAGTGATATACCCTCCGAGGAAATCTTCCGCATGCTCTATATGGTCCACATAGCCGCACAGCTGGAGGAGGAGACCCAGGTGCGGGGCGTCGTCTGCATTATGGACTTCGATGGTCTGGCCATGAAGCAGGTGAAGGCCCTCTCGCCCAGTTTCTCAAAGCGTCTGCTGACCTTCATTCAGGACGCCATGCCCTTGCGCATGAAAGAGGTGCACTTTGTCAAGCAACCCTTCATATTCAACATGGTCTGGACCCTCTTCAAGCCCTTCGTCAAGGAGAAGCTGAACAAGCGCGTAAGTTGAGGGAAATACTTATGGCTTGGGAAATATTGTCGAAAGGTGGAAAATATCAGAACGTACCAAGGGCAGGGCCTTTTAAGGGATTTCTATAAGCATTCTTAATGCTTAGGGGTAGTTTAGATGATAACTAACCATTCTAATCGTAAAAAATGAACTACGAACTTGGATTTGTGAAGTGTTTTGGAATCCAAATGATTAGATTAACGAAAAGTCATCTATGAGTGATAAGATTGTTAAAGAGCTGAAAACATCAGAACATACCCCTAGCAAAGCCTTTTCTACATAATGCTATAAAGAATTAACTGACTTGAAAAGCCATATGGAGACTTCAAGATAGGAAAACGTAGTGCTTTTTTAAAATCAACGAAATATCAGTTCTTTTGAAAAAATCCCTTTTAAACAATTTTTTTAGCAATGATTTTTGTAACGGTTCTTTGCATGGTTCGGAATTAAAAAAAACCCCTATCAGTTGTTCTGAATCGAGAAAATTCTTTAAGTCGGTAAAATAGTCTTGAGTTTTAAAGAAAACATTTTAGATGGAATATATATATATATAGTCCACCTTAGTACCTCCAAAAATACAGCAACTAATTTCTATTCTGCATCTTCCTGTTTTCAGATGCATTTCCATGGCAGCGACATGAAATCCCTGCAGAAGTTCCTCGATCCCGCCTTCCTGCCGGCCAACTACAAAGGCACATTGCCCGCCATCGATTACGGCGGCAGCGAGTGGTTCCCCGCACTGGAAAAGCAGTCCGATTATGTGGCTGCCTGGAGCGAACTGGGGCCGGCCAAATGGTGACCGCCTAGCAGAGTTATTTAAGAACTAAATTTGAACAAATTTTTTTGTGGCATTTGAAAACGTTTGGGTTGGTTTCCCAACCAAATGCAGCAGTTTTAGATTCTAATGTGAAAGCTGGAGAGTCTCTCTCGTTGGAGCTCGTCTGAAATAGTCTTAAGATGCATTCAATCATTTCATATATAGCTTCTATTGACACCACCCTGAGCTTTCGATTTTCTGGCGACACACCCTACAAATGAGACACGTGCCTGAGACCCACGCCCAGCCAGACGACGAGCACTTAGTTTCTAGAAATTCGTCATCTGTGTGAGCGCTCAGCTGTAGTTTATGTTTATAATTGTAAATAAGTACTTTTTACAAATCGTACGTTTTCCTTTAGTAATGTATAGATAGATATTTTCAAAATAAATAAACTCTAGTTGCGTAAAGTGTAAAAATGTGATTTCGTTTCTGTTTCAAATTGGCTAGTTTGGGTGTTTTTTCTTTATTCAACGTCTTTTAACTTATCATACTTCGTATTTAGCTTCAAACAACCGATTCTCATACTATATACGATATCATATACCAAATCAAATTTAACAATTGCAAATGAGTCTTCTCGCTCTTCAATTTTTCTATGTTCGGTGTGAGTTCCAACAATATTACATGACTATTATAATTAGCTGTTAGAATGTGAGGATGGGATAAGATGGCCGATGGGTTCTATCGAGTCGCCGTGAACCAACTAAACAAAAATATACATTAACTATATAAAAACCGTAAGCGTTTAGACGCAAACATTAACCAGCCAGGCAGCGTAAAGTTTCTGCAACATATATTTTCTCTATATATGTGTATATATGTGTGTTGTTTTCTAGAGAGTAGTGTTGGTGCTTGAGTCGTCGATGCTTATAGTATCATATTTGCTGGATCTTCGACGAAGTTACGGAAGTGCTGCAACCACTGTGCGGCCACAGCGCCATCCACCACTCGATGATCGGCGCTTAGCGTAACAGTCAAGAGATTCACCTCCTTGAAGCTGCAATTGCAAATAATAGGAGGTGCATTAGAGATGAGCGGGTCGAGGCTTTAACTTTCAATGACTTACCCTTTAATATTGTCCGGGTCGAGTACAAGCTGCTTCGTTGTGGTGCCAATGGCTAAGATGCACGATTGCGGGGGATTTATGACGGCGCAGAACTGATTCACTCCTAAAAGTATGTAGAAATGAGTTCAATTAGTGAAAGAGAAACAATTTTTCACATCGCAAAATACCAGAATGGATGTACTCTTCTAAAAGTAAATGATTTATAATAAAGGTTGACTCTATTGTGTTCTTTTGAGAACTCTAGAATGGGTTTTCGGTGGAAATCATTCTGTTTCGCTCATGTTATGCATATTTTGTTTCTTTCAATTTTGATTTAAACCACTATTCTGTTTTATAAGGTTTCTTTAATATTTTGTCATATAAGGAGTTTTTTTTTGTAACTAAGAATATCTAAGAATATAAAAAACATATTATATGTATCCCATATTTTTACAAATATTAATTACACAACGCACTCTATCGAATTAGACATATGATTAAAATATGTGGACCTCAAATATTTTCAACAAAAGCTAAAGGAGAACTAGTTCTTGTTGTAATTCTTCAATTATTATATACGAGTATGTAGACATAAATATTGGTTTATAAGATTTATGCGATAGAAGTGGAAAAGGGCCCCTCTATTGACGAAATTTTATTTTTGCACAATCTTTGAGACAGACTTTGTCAAACAGAACTGGTTCTACTTGAAACTCCTGAAAAAGTTCACAGATCTACTGAGCTCAGTTCTAAACACCCCATTCACATTTCAATTTCACTTACCAAACATTCCAAGATTGGATACCGAAATGGTGCCGCCCTGGAATTCTTGTGGCTGAAGTTTGTTATCGCGCGCCTTGGCTGCCAATTCTTTAACATTCTTGGAGATTTCCAAGACACCTTTGCGATCAGCGCTAAAAATGATTGGCGTTATCAGACCCTTGTCCGTTGAGACAGCCACAGACACATCGACATCGTCGTATTGCCTAATGATCGTGTCCATCCATGCAGAATTGGCCTCGGGCACTTTGCGGCAGGCGATTGCAGTGGCCTTGATGATAAAGTCGTTTACGGATACGCGTGCTCCCTGTTTCTCGTACTTCTTGTTGACTAGAGCGCGGAACTTCAAGAGCTGTAAAAGAAGAATATAGACTGTGAGCGAGAGACAGGGAACGATTTTCTTAGTATCTTTACTTACTTTATCGACTTGACATTGCACAGTGACGTAATAATGTGGCAGTTTCTGCTTGGATTCCAGCAAGCGCTTGGCAATCACTCCACGTACGTTGGATACCGGTATGTCCTTGTAGCGAGCGGCTGTAGGGGCCGCCGCGGCTGGTGCAGGCGCCTTAGCTGCTGCTTTCTGGGCAGCCATGCCTGCAAGATCACCAGATTTTATTGAGCCATGCACGCCGGAGCCTTTGCCTGAACAAAAACTTGGTTAGTAACGCACAAACAGACAAGGGGAGATTTTAGTTGCAGGCATGTGCTGAGCATGCACAGCGGGAAGCGATTAGGGTACACCACCTTGTAAACGTAGTTGCTGAGCTTCAGCTAATTTTTTGGCCATGGGACTAGCATAGACACGGCCACCAGTGGGTTGGGCACTACCTGCTGGTGCTGCGGCTGGCGGTGGTGGCGGGGGTGGAGCGGCAGCGGCAACTGGAGCCGCGGGCGGAGGTGGAGGCGGTGCAGCAGCAGCGGGTGCTGGCGCTGCAGCTGCTGCCGCTGGCGGTGGGCCATCGTCTTTAAAGTCCTTGAAGGCAGCTATGCTGCCAGCATCGGGCACGATAATGCACACCAGTTGACCAACGGGAACATCCTTTGCACCACCAGGAACGAGAATTTTTGCCAGATATCCCTCCTCAGGCGTTTCAAAGCCCATGGTGGCCTTGTCCGTTTCAATTTCGCACAACAAATCGCCTGCAAAGTAAAACGGAAAGTAATTAGAAGATTTAATTATAAGAAGTTGCCAACCTTGACTTCCGAATATGCTTCAAGTATACCAAATTTATCTATTGAGAGCTACTTAATTTTTAAATCTTTCTTATTCCGAAAAAATTTGAGATAAGCATGTCTGTCCGTACGTCTGACTTCCCTCATGAATTTTGGTATAACCCCGTAATCTTTTATGGAACTAAAATAACACGATAGCTTAGGTGTCTATAGAGAATCGATCTAAGGTAAGACAAATGGCAATAATTCTTTAAATAAGAACGCGTTGTATTCGGAATAAAACTTATTCTGAAGAAACTGAAAAATTAACTAAAACTGTTTCCTTTCAATCGTGTTTCAATATTTCGATCAATTACCAATTTCAATCCCGCGTTATTCCTGTTTATTTCTTAATAAAAATAAAACCAATGTCTAATATACAATTTCAAATTTTAGGAAACTTGAAGAAAGCTATTTTTGCTTTGAAATAAAGCAACACTGATATTATTTGCCACTGGACTCACCTTCGTTCAGTTTGTCGCCCTCCTTCTTCTCCCAGCTGACAATGGAGCCCCGCTCCATGGTCGGCGATAGTGCCGGCAAGGGAACACGTATGTGCTCGGGCAGACTGGAGTAGGCGCGGGCAAAGTTGTAGCTCCATAGTGTAACTGGTTTCGGTTTTCTCAATGTGCCATTAAGTGTCGCTCTAGTAGAGACATTTTAAAAAGAAAGAAAACAAACCGAATAATTTATCACTGATTATGGATTTGCCAAATATCCACACATACATACATATATCAGCTGATTGTTGTATTTCAAAAAACACATACACACGGAAACACACACACACACACACACACACACATACACGCACATGGCCAAGTGTAAACAATTGCGGCGTCAACAAAAATAGCTCAATTAAAATAATCAGCCGCTGGCCACTATCACGATTCCATGCTATGGCTTCAGCATCACGCACTTCGCGTCGCCACACGCATGCAAATCACGCACACAACCACATGCACATCAATTTGACAGGCGGCTGCTGACTGATGCTGCTGCTACTGATACCACCGCCCCCTGCCGAACATTGCGTCGCCGTCAACCCACCGCCCTCCCTCACGAACATGAGTTCGCTGATGCAGCAGCGCTTGATTTGCAATATTACACAACACTTTCTAACCTCACTATAAATGCAGCAGCAGGCAGCGCCGTCGATATTTGAATTCTAATTTGTTGTTTTTACCTGATTGCCTGGAGATTTCGGGCATTGATCACCTGTGTGCTGAACGCACGCACTCCACAGGCCCCGCGTCGAGTTGTCGTTCTCAATAAGATCGAACGCAATGCATTCAGTTCGGTTCGTGTTGTTGCAAGGCAGCGCAGCATTATCCTTAACTTTTCGGCCTCGTCGTCGTCAGCGTCGTTGTCACTTCAAAATTTTGTTGGTTGCGTTGTGTGCGGGTTTGTGTCGGTGTGCGGCCGTAATTTAGAGTGGTTCTGTGTCAAATTCGCGGATCGAAAAATTAAACAAAGTGACTTATGCGGCCGACCTTATAACGTTAGTAGGTCATACGACACAAAGTATATATTTTGCTTATTTGTTTGACTTTGACGTTTCGATCCAATCATTCACAATGAGGTGTTGAAGGCAAGTGTGTGTGGGAGCAGCGACGGTTATCGATAGCCGAGTTGGCAGCACCAACAGCTGTTGCACAGCAGTTGCCTTCACTTGGCGCGCGCACTCATTTCAAATGTTCGAATAATTACATTCAGCGATTTACGAAAGCATACATTATTTATGACACCATTTGAGTGCATTTATGGATATTTATAGCCTCATATTTTAATTTGCGCAATAGAAAAGTTGCTCACATATAATGCGTTTGCGTATTCGCATAGATACGCTGATTTTTATACACTGTACTCAGAAGGTAAAAGGAGGTATTAGTTTAATACGAATGTATACTATATAACACACAGAAGGAGTGGCAGACCCCTAAAAGTATATATATTTATTTGATCATTATGACAAGACGATATAGCCATGTCCGTCCGTCCGCATGAACGCAAGAATCTCAGAAAGTATAAGAGCTATTTCATAAATAAATTACATAGATACATGTCATAAATAAATGAACTTAATATAAGCTGAAAGAAAGATTTTTGTGAGTCGGTAAAGGATATTAAAGCGTTGAGCCAGCCCGACTTTAGCTTTATATTCCTGTTTGAAATGTTTTCTATACCTAATTTACTTTACTGATATATTTCCATAAAAAGAGCGTGATTTTTTGCAATATTGCAGATGTTGTTTATTCTATAATGTACATATACCATAATGTTTAATTATGATGGCAATAAATATTTTGTTGGTTGTTTCAGCATTAGCTATGCATAATATTCTCTGCAAAAAAATCCGGTATATTTCCAATTGTAATATATGTAATAAAATGCACCTATGGGAATGTTTGATGCTGTACTGGCTTTAATTAACAAAAACTCGGCTTATACAAAAGCAAACCCTGCAAGGTTTTCTTGTGGATTTGAAGCTGATTAATTTTTCTTTTTTATTCCAATTTGACGCCTATCTTCCAAATTCCAATTGTCTTCAAAAGAATGTGTATTTATTGAGCTGACTGCTGCTGTACGTGAGGCATTTTTTTTTTTTTTTTTTTTTGGCAACAACATCGCCCACCTGTTTACAATCATCCCCACAAGCAATCCACAATGACCACCAAGAATAGGAACAAGAACGCAATTAATATTAATTTTTTGCGGGTTTATTGATTTATTTTTGTATTTTTATTGAGCATTGCTTCACACACTTCGAACGTACATCACCGCATATTGAGTGTACTTCAACATGTGCCGGGTTACAATCACACCAGAGCACCTGATGAAGTACAATAGACATGGGAGACAGAAGTAACAGGCAAAAAAATGAAACTACAAGACTAGTTTAATTTACAAGCTACGGTGCTCTTTCCTGGGACTGTTGATAGCGTCTCGCACCACGCGCGCTACTTCAGGTACCTGACTGAACGGAAACAACCAGCCCCGGTCACTGATTAGCGCGCATGACTAGAGACATGGTGGTGCTGTGGAAAGAGGTCCAAGATAAGCAACGCGAAGCAATCCAAGCCACACATTCATCCAGGTGGTAAGCGGGCACGTGTTACCAACCGAAATTGTGGTCCGAGTCCAAGTTGCCTGCTCTTTAAGTCCATATCATGGGGGCAGGGCAGGAGCAAACGACCTTGTGATTCTGCTCATGTCCAGATTTAAGGTTAACGATCTCTGCCTCTGTGTGTGTGTATGCACGCGACGCCGCAACCAATCGATGACTTCATGCTACTCACATACTTGCAGACACTGCTACATACATATGTATGTACATTTATACTCGTACATATGTATGTGCGAGTACATATCTGCTGCGTTTGTGTGTGAGCTTTTTGCCGTATGTTTTGCGCTTAAGCTTTGTCGCAGTGTCTTTTTTGCTTGGCCTGTGGAGTTTTGCAGCTTCGTTCGTTGATTTATGCAACAACAACAATGTCAAATTAGTCATATGTTTTAAGTTTCTTTGCACACCTTGTTTGTGCGCCTGTTGTGTGTGTATGTGTGTGTGCTAATGACCACATAGCAGCCACCAACCACACACCAGCGAGTTCCATCGGATATGACGTCATCAATGCCAAATGTGCAAACTACATCTTTTTCATTCGTTCTTTTTTTTTTTCGCCAACTGCCACCAGCAGCAACAGCAACAGTTAGGCGACGGAAAGACTTTCAAGTAATTTACACACAATAAGAAGTTTTTTTAGGGTGGAATTAAGATAGTTTTAATTCCTATTGGCTTTACTTGAAGCTGGTTAAATTTGTGAGTAAATTTCTTGTCTGTCTGACAATACCTTAGCCGTCATCGACGTCATCTGTGTCGTCTGCAGACCCTTGATATTCTATATTTGAAAATGCTGTAAAGAAAAATAAAAAAAGAAAACTGCTGGGAACAACTGCCAGCGACAAAAAGAACCGGCGTTTTTGCAGCTAGTTTTCGTTCTCTCGCACTCTCTCTCTCTTCTCTTGCTCTCCCTAACTATCACGCGTTGTTGCCAAGCACAGAGGCAGCAGCCGCAGCAGCGCCTTATACGTGATCCCCAACACACGCACGCACACTACACTCGCAAATTCTTGTGGCGCGACAACGACACACACGTGCCCCACTACATTCGCGAATTCTCTCGTACATACACCTATACATATGTACGTACTATAATTTCGAAGTGATCGAGAAATGAAATCGAATTTGCAAACGCGTTCAAAGTATTTAATTTTCTTCTTTTTTTTTCTTTCTTTGCTCTTTCACTCTTTGACGTTGTTCGCGAAATAAAGGAATTAATGAATTATACAAAACGGGCTTTGCTCTATTATCGGTTTGCGTTTCTTTGTTGCTCTTTCGGTTTTACAACGCCTCATAAATTTTAAGCCGCTCGCTACATACATACATATGTATGTACATACAAGCATACAAATAATGTATAATGAACTTGGACTTCAGTGTATGTGCCTCTGTGTGTGTGTGTTGGGTCTGTGGTGTGTGGCAGCGCTGCTTGAACGATCGCGAACAGCTTTTGACTACCACTGTGAATAATTGCGAATTTTTAGTTCGAAATGTCGTTTGTCGACAACAAATACATGCATATGTACATATGTATATGCATATACTTTGTGTGTCTGTGTGTGTGTGTGTGTGCGGCATATAATTGTATATGGCAATGGCGACGACGACCGACCGATGATGGTGATGGTTGTATGTATATAATAAGCAGCCGCAAGCAGTCATGTCTGCTTTATACTGTGTCTTTGTGGTGTGTGTACGTACGTATGTATGTATGTCTTTTGCATGAACATGCATACATACATACATACATACATATGCTTACTTGGGTGGGGCATTCCTAACCTCAAATAGTCACAATGCGCTGCTGCTGCCTCTGCCGACTGCAAGTCTCTCAGAGACTGTGTGGGTGTGAGTGCAGCCAAGCACATGTTTTTTGTAGCAGTGTAGCGGCCGCCCTTAACCCTGGAGTTTGGCTAAAAAGAGTTGCTGAGAGACCGTCTGCAGCAACCAAGAAAAACTGATCTGAAGTTTTACTCACACACGCACACATATACAACTTTTATTGTGTGTGTCTGCCGTCTACGTTGTCTGGGCAAATTTTTTCGTCTAAAATTAATATTTGAGCGACAAAAATGTATGCCTGTGTGAGTGTGTGTGTGTGTGAGTGCGCCATATGTGTGTGCAAAAGAAATTTGGAAATATGTAGAATCATGTGGTCGTTCGTTGTTGTTTTTGTTGTTAGTGCTGCTGCCTGCGTTTGCTGCTGCTTGTGATATCAAAACGCTAAAAATAAACTCAACTAATTTTTCAAGTCTTCTTTTTTTACGGCCATTTTTTGGGCCGTGTTCTAGCCGTTTCGCCTTTTTATATCTTAATAACACACGACAGCGACGACCATACACGTTGACGCCGGCATGAATTTCACAATATTTTTACAGACGTTTCACATTTCTTTTTTCTACGCTTATATTTTTTTTTTTTTGCTCACTTCCGTTGCACTTGGGCCTTCGTACGTACGCACGCACACATATCTATGTATGTACATCCATATACAGATATATTATTTTTACTTCTTTGTTGCTTTAATTGTTCGGACACACACACGCACGCCATAAAGTTTATAATTTCTTTTTCTTTAAAGTTTGTTTTGCGTGCCGCTCGGCAACTTGATGGGCAAATGGCCGACGACTGTGTGGCTGCCCAGAAACAGTCTGGCCTTTTATTATGAACACAACTTTCCGTCGCTGCCTGGCCTGAGCTTTGGGCCAATAAGATTGAGAGCGTCGACGACCGCGCACGCCGGCTGTTGGCGATCAAATGCTCAATGTCGCTGCTTAATCAAAAGCGGAATGCGCGAATTTTATTTCGCACTGCCACAAAGTCGCCGTCGCCGTCGCCATTGTCGACGGCGCTGCTACGCCGCTGTCTGTCTCTCCGCTTTTGTGAGTAAGCATGTGCTCATGTGTCTGTATGCGTGTGTGTGCAACAAACACAGACAGTCTGTATGCTTGTGTAAGTTGCCGTTTTTTATACCTTATACCCAAACACTAGAACAGTATACCCCTTTTGTGGGAATGTATGCAACGCATAAAAGGAGGAGTGCCAGACTTCTTGAAACTTATATAAGTATCAGCAGAACATTTCAATATGGATTCAAAATGTGTATATTCAATATTTATTTAGCTTATATATGATTCTCCTTTTTAAGCAGTTGGTTTTTATTATTAAACAACTGAACTTGCAGCATTCTCAACCCAAAAACAGAAATACTGTATATTATATATTTTAATAATAATTAATAAAGAAATTCGTCGTCATTTACGACATGATGTCGTCTTGAATCGCGTATGCCCCTCGTGGGCCTGCTACGAGATATACAATTATCACAATTAACTTATTTCAATTAAAACGTTCCGTAAATAGTCGTACCGTGTTTTAAAATATACTTAATTTTTGCTCTTTGTTAGATGCCCATTTAGTGGAAGTCGGTAAGGGATATATCTTTCCAGTACGCCTTCTGCAATTTGAAAATTTGCTCACGTATTCTGTACTTAATTTTTTATCTCTGTATAAAATTGCATACAAGTCGTTTTATTCTACGGAAAGTTATTTGCCTAGAGTATTCCACTGTTGGACTTGCTCGCTTGCAGCCTTCTCTCTTGTCTTTTTGTAGAACAGTGGCGTCGCCGTTGGGTCACAGTGGTTAAAATAAGAAGCTTTCGAACAAGAACGACGCCACTGCATTGCTGCACTTCCTGCTTCCTACACCGCTCTGCAACTCACACATAGCACACATTGCCAGTTCTTGCTCGGGGTTCCTTTGTTATAACTGGCAACACCACCAGCAGCTACAACAACGGCAACAGACTGCAGCAAAAAGCCACAGTGGGCAAAACCAGTATATACAAAAACAAAACTTTTAGTTCGTTCTTAAAAAATAATTATAATGCAAATATGAAAATTAAAATTTCTTAATAATTTTTAATATTCTTCATCTATTATCTTTTATCTGAAAGAACTTTTATTGGAGAATTGAAAGCTGATCATTATTTCTAGGCAACAAGTCGTATAAGCAATATTTTTCTTCAACTACTTAGATAAAATCTACAGGTTGGGGTAAAACAGGGATTCCCAATAAATAAAGGATTCCGCCTTCTGGACTTTTGACTATATTCCATTTTAATATATCGAAATATAAAAATGAGTAAAGTTTTTTGTAATATAGTTTTTGCCATAAATATATATTATTTTCAATTTATGCTTAAGGGGCAAATGTTTCATTCATAGTTTCTCAAATTTGAATTCATCTTTCATGTTGAAATCGTCATTTATTGCTGTTGAAGCGTGAATGGGAAAGTACTGCTCTAGACTGTAAATAAAAACCTTATCTATATTTCTAATGTTTAAAAAAAAATTTAAAATGTATTCTCAGATATCTGTAAGTTATTGTAATATATATAAGCAAATTTCTTGATGGACAAGTCCTGTTTCAGGCTGTAAAAAATGCAACTTGAAAAAAAAAAATATATAACCCACCCAAGAAAACGATAAAAAGCTCTCTATAAATAGACTGATTCACACCACTGTGCATTGAATCGATGTCTGGCAGGGCGTCGCTGGCTGGCTGGCTCGTGAGCTGCGCTGCTGCTCTTGTCGCTGCAGACGCTGGCGTCGCTGCCTCAGCTTCAGCCATTTCCATCGCCATCATAGTGGTCGTCATCGTCATCGTCAGCGGCACCGTCGCTGCAGCTGCACATGCTTTTTGGCCATAGCGTGCAGTTTGGTGGCCGGGAGCAGGGTTGTCGCCTTGTCTACCTGTCTGACGCTTTTGTTGATTTTGCGATGGTATTGGTGCGGTGCCCGAGGAGTGTCTGACAAGCGACAATGTCAATGCGCTGGCTTGGTGTACGTTTTTCTTTTCTGAGTCGCTGTTGCTACACGACTACCCACCAACTCCCTCCGACTGCTTCGACTCTGACGCTGACTCCCAACTGTCCCAACTTCATGTAAATGCGTTGGCTTTTCTTGCTGGCTGCTGCTGACTACAGGCTTTTTTTTTTTTTTTTTTTTTTTTTTGCTGCTGTTGCTGCTGCAGCTACACACGCCCAAAGGTAGCGACAACTCTACAACTGACTGTTTAGCGCATGACGGGGCGTCACTGCCAGTTCTGGGGCTTATCTGCCCCATGATTCATCTCGTGATGAGCACACAGCCAGAAAAAAAAAATCCACTAAAACCAACAACAACAACAACCACTTATCGAATAACTTAGAGAAATACAACTTTTCTGAGTTTTTGGACTTAACATTTGTTCGTACCGGAGTATATTTTAGGCGTAAATTTTCACTAGAGACGAGGCCTACAAACTAGTCTATAAATTAGCTACTAACAAATACATGAGCTTGCACTATACATATACATACAAACATAAAAGGACAAATAGTACACAAAACGGGGACAAAATATAAAAAGTATAATTACAAGGACAATTACGGTGTAAAAATCTCTAATCTAATACCGGCGGCGCTATCTCAGGCGCCATCAGGAGTCAATAAAGCACGCCTTGGCGTACTTCCAGCAGGGTTATGGAGATGCGCTCGGCTGTGTGGGCACAAATGGTTGCCAACGCAGGCAGGAATCATCGATTTTGGGAAAAGTGCCGCGCTTCTTCACACGCTCCTCATACTCATCCAGCACATCCTATTGAATTGTAAATAGGTTGAAGATCAAGTAACATTTTAACAAAAATTAGTAACGCGGGCACTTACCTGTTTCTTCAGGACGATGTGCTTGCCCTTCCAGTATTTCATCATGCCCAGGGCTTGCAATGTACTCACAATGTCATAGGAATATATAGCCATTTCCTAAGGAATGAGATATATAGAATGACAATTTTAATATATTATTATATTATTAATGGAAGAAGAAGAATAACTATTTGTTTGAAAAAGTTGTTTGAGGTTATTTTTTGAAATAGAACACTCTATAGATATCAACAATTTCTTCTTAAGTTTGTCGGATTTTTAAAACAAAGCACTGAATAAAATAAAATCTACTGCCTCAATAAATTAATTTTAGGAAGTGAGACAATCTCTTTTGAGGCTAGATAGGGTTTATTTATAGAACGTATGGTTTTACTAAGTCTGGAAACACTGTAGTCAAGTAAAATTTGATATTTTGATCAAATTATGGACTAAACTTGACTTTGAAGATTTGTAACTGGTTTTGAAGGGATTTGTAACTGATTTATAATTGATATAAATATACATATCACTATGAAGGGATTATAGAAAGAATTAACAGTTTCATCAATGATTATTCCGATTAATAGTAGTAGAGATAGTAAAGTGGAGCTTTGCCAAGACTTCTAATAATTTCTACCTTTAGTTATAGTTAGTCATATTTATAAAAAATTTAGAAGTTCGTCATCAATGTAAAGTTACGTCAAACGAAGTCAATAGCAAAACTAGCCCGAAAAAGGTACTTTCTTACCAAAAATTTGTTTACTTTGCAAAGCCTTTTAAAATCGTTAAAATAACACTTATTTCAGTTCTTAATCTTTATGCTGCCGACAAGGCCTAGACGTTAAAGCTTTCGGTGTGTTTTCAATCGTAAGAGCCTTCTCTTATAAGACGCTTTAATATTTAAAACGAGTGTTACTTTATCAGAAATTTCCTATAAGTTCTATATTTATTTTCCATTAAGAGACGAAAGTAACTCTACAGCTTTTGCTTATCGGAAAGAAATTGAATAATCTTTAGACTTGTTCTTTAAAATTCCTGATTCCAATTGATATTTATTGCCGACTCACCTGAGATACATCCTTAATGCACAGCGAGTTGCCCGATCGATTGCACAAATAGTCGAGCAGCACATCCTTCCAGTACGAGCGATACGAAATGAGGCCCAGATCGGACAGCGGCTTCTCTGGCGAGCCAATTTTGCCTTCGACGCGCGTCAGCAAGTAGCCTGGAAAGCAGAATTAAAGTTGCCTATAAGTATGCTATAGATAAGTACCGCGGCACTCGCACTCGCAGTCGTAGCCGCAGCAGCAGCAGCTGCAACAACAACAGCAACAACAACAACGAAAATAGCAACAGCAGCTCGAGCTCCAGCTTTATAATGCAAGTTCCGGCGTATTATTTATGGTGACCAAGTTTACCCGTCCGCCGTACGTGTTGTGTCTAGACAGGATTCCGCAAAGTGTGAAGGGGTGAGTGATGGGTTGTGGCGAGGGGGGAGGGGGTAGTTGAGAGGGTGGCTGGTGATAGCAAAGCTTGGCATGAATGACGAACTGCTACCACATGCAGACGCAACAGCAGACTCTGTCGACGCCGACGACGACGTCGCTGCCAGCTGGCATTTAAACAACGTTCTGGCGTACATTCAACCCACGAGCGAAGACAGCAACCCCCAGACCGCCCATCCCCTTCCGTAGCGTCTGGCAGCAACGATATTGGCAAGTCTAGATAACAACAACAACAACAACTACAGCAGCAGCAGTAGCAGCAACAAAAACAATGAGTGCAGCAAGTTAACTGACGAGGACGAACGAGAAGCGTGCTGTCGTTGTTGTTGTTGTTGTTATCCCCTCACACAACACAGAACCCACTGAGGCAGGCTCAGGGAAAAAAGCTCAGACGCACACAGACACAGACACACACACACAAGCACATGGACTGCAGACACAACTGGCAGCTAAGGGAATCCTGTTGGTCCTGCTGCAGGGTTGAACGCACACACGCACAGATTGAGGGCCACTAACTTTTGCGTCGTTCGTTGTTGTTTTCCCGGGGCAGACTGGGCTAAAAGAGCATTACTGCGTTTAAAAAGCGAACACTTTCAAGATGGCCAAATTTGTTTCCCAACTTACATATCCGTTTACAGCCGATCAATTATAAAATATTTATTTATCGGAATTTAAGTTATGATGTAATTGATCAGCTAATTGACGAGGGACCGCCCATATCCTTTTTACAACTTAGTTAAGTAAGGTAAAATATGTTATATTAAAAAGTGATATTCGATAATTTAAACTTTAAATTAAATTTAAATTATAAAGTGTACTTTTAATATATCAATTAATAAATGAGCTTAGAATATGAATAGACTTTAGAGAATTTAAAAAAGAAAATATTTGAATATATTATATATTAATTCTTTATAAAGACATTTAACGGTTATTTCAACAGATAGTTAAACGTTTAAAAAAACAAATCGTTTTATAAGTCCATTGATAGTAATGAACTCTTTTAAGATCGTTTAATCAAACGCGTTTAGATATATAAGGGCTGGAAAATTGAAAACTATTCCCAAAAAGCTTACACTTTTAAAAGCTATTACATATACTATGTATGTACATATATATTTTTTGAAAAACGTTCCTCTAAATATTGAACAAAATACCTGTTCCCATCCTTTTGACACAACTCCTGCTATAAGTATTTCCCCTATGTTCCAAGAATTTATAAATATAAATATATAAATAGATGTGGATCTTAGAGTATTTTATTGTTGGAAAGGTTTCTCCTTTTGAAAATGGTGATGCATATGATTTTTTATGGGAAGTATTTGTACAACTCGAGTATTGGATTAAAAAGAAGACCTGTGGTTTGTATAAAAAGACGTTGCTGTTCGGTCTAGCTTTCCAGTTTGTTTCGCTGATAGTAACAAATCGAAAGCTATGGAGAAACTCTTTGTGGAGCAGGGCCAAATTAAATTATAGGAAATTTCAAAATACACCCAATTCTGTTTTTTGCACGGTCTTCTTTTTACAAGGTTATGATTTAACACGATTTGAAAATTGAAAATTTTATATATGGTTGCACGAGCTTATTCCACGACGATTCAAAATATCATATGATCAATGTCCTTTTTACACGACTATTTCTTGAGCCAATCTACCGTGTAAAAACTGAATTAGATGTACATACGTATGTATGTATGTGTATTCCTAATTAGTTTCAATATATTAAAAACCAATTTGGTTTATTTGCGACTTCCAATAGCGGTGTTAAGGCTCTTAAAACGTGAAAAGAAAGAATGTACACAAGACAGAGTACCGATTACTTAAAGTTCCTCATTCCTACAATAATTTAGTTATGTCATTGATTCTTTGCTATTTTTTATGGCCAAATCATTGTTGTTCTTTTTGATAAAAAAAAAAGTAGAGCCTTACAAATTTTTGCTCACTATTGTGCGTGATGCGTCCCACGTTTTACGTTTGTTTGGTCGGTCTGTTCAAGGGGCGTTGCAGCCACGCTTTCGCGTGGCGCTTTGATTTCTTTGTGCTGCGTTGTTGCCGCCGCCGTTTGTCGTTGCATCTGTGTTGGTGTGTGTTGGTTTGTGTGTGTGTGTTTGACTGTCTGTGTGGGTGCGTGCGAGTGTGAGTGAAACGTCGAGACGACTTTATCGATCCATGGTTGATTCGCATTCGCAGTGGCGTCGGCGGCAGCAGCAACAACCACAGCAACAACAACAACAACGGCGAGTGGAGTGCAGTTAGTGTCTGGCTTTTTGGCTGCATGCATTGCATACCTACAGGCGCGAGTATGAAGTCGCTGAGAGAGAGAGAGACAGAGAGCGGGAGCGGCAGCGAGAGAGCCGTTCGTTTCGGTCGCATAGTTGCATTTTGCAATGATTATAACAAATGAGGCTTGTGCTTAGCAACAATTAGAGTCTAACATAGAATAAGTTAATTAGAGTGTTTGCAATTCTCTCTCTCTCCCCTGCTTTCGATATATATTTTTTTGCTCAATTAGCGGACTTGTGGCAGATTTCGCATATAGCGAGTACCGCCGATTACTGCTGGCTTGCCCAGGCAATGCGCGCACACACTATAAACACGAGAGGACGACGCCCTTTCATTGTGACCTGTGCTGACCTTTGTTGTCTGCCGCCGTCGTTGTTTCTGTTTCTCTTGTTGCTGTTGTTGTTGTTGCTGTTGTGGCGCTGTCTGCAAAACTTTTTTGTTTGCTTGTGTGCGTATTCGGTGTCTGTGTGTGCGTTTGTATTTAGGTGCGTATGCGGGTGCAATTTGCTGACTATAAATAAATGTTCATTGAAATGGCCGTCAAAATGACGCATTTAACTTTTTTCGCGATGCTCTTAAGTGCTGTACATGTATCCAAAAAAAAAAAAAAAAAAACTGCAGACGTCTTGATTTCATTAATTAATTCATTTTGTGCACATAATGGCTCGTATCCCCCCTTTTGCAACGTATTTTTTTTTGCTGCTTCTTCTACTTCTTGTTGCTGTTTTTGGTTAGTCATTAGGCTTGCGTGTCTATGCACAGCGGTTATTAAATTCGCGCCACCACTCGGACACACAGCCTTACATACACACTTACATGCATATGCATGTTTGTATGTACTCACAAGTATGTGTAATTATTTACACATGCTTGTACATACATACATCTATATATACACTTATATAGTGTTTGTATATAGAGTCGCACCTGATCATGAAAAGCTGTGAATGGTGGCTGACCGGCTGGCTGGCTGACTGACTGACCAGCACCGTCACCGCACAGTGGTATAAAAATACTTAAAATCTGAATTCAAATGTAATACACCAGTCAGAAGGACATAAAAGCTCAATTTGTTGAGGTCAAATATAGACTTTTGCTTCTAAATCTGTCATGTCATTAGCAGGGCGTCGGAATGTCCTTCACGTCATTTATTATTATTGATTATTGGCGATGTAGATTCTATCTGTCCTCTTAACTTTTCAGTTCAAACGAACTTTTTTCTATTGATCTTGCCTGAATAATATAATATTGACTACTTGTACAAGCGTTTTCGCGATTTGTGTTCAGATTATAATGAACTTTCTCCCAATATTCTCCATCCCTCTCTAGTGTATAAAAACGGTTCACTTTAACTAGATTTAGACAAATCTCTGACCTCATTTAGCTGTGAATCGAAGCAAAACATATATAATCCTCCAACCTATCGGAAGTATTAATATACCTTTTTGTGCTTTTGTTAGATGATTTTTGAGGCTTTCTCATCTTTTAAGTTGTTAACGTAATAATTAATAAATAAATCAATAGCGATGTAAGCTTCTCTGCCCTTGAAGGCCGTCGTACCTCAGGAAATATTTTCAATTTCAATCTTGTCTATTTAGTTGTGTACACTGACAACGCTTTTCACAATCGCTTTCTACTTATAATGTCCTTTCCCAATTATGTACAAACTCTCCTTTTAATTGAATTAACAATAACGAAATGTACAGCCCTCCGCTGCGCTTCTCATACGCATCATCTAACCGGAAGTATGTGAAATTTGATTATAAAATTGAAAGAACTTCGGGAGTTAAGGAAAATCACTAATATCAGGGGAGCAGCGAAATTGAAGAAAATGTGTGTTTAAAGCTCTTAAAGCCTCTGACTCCTAGATGTTCATACGAAAAGACAGACTCCATTCGACTAATAAAGCCTGTCAAGAATATGGTCTGTTAAATTTGTCTTCCTTTTTAGATCCAGACTATACAAATTGAACGATCATTTTAAATTCCGAGAGGGAACTACTAGTGTCTGATTTTCGAAAAAATGTTTCTATCAATAAATGGCTCTAAAAAGGGCCTAAACAGCGGATCAATAAAACAACTATTAAGGCATACAAATAAACATCTGCATATAAAATACATATATGGATGCAAGCCCGAAAAGCTGAATACGTTATTTAATAATGTTTGTTTTAATAATAGTTTATTTTTTCTCTGTCTATAAGCTGTTAAATAATGCTGTTTTATTTATTTACTTCTATTTGGAATTTGTTTCGATTTGAAATATTTCAAAGCTAATAAAAAACAATGACAGCAGTATATAGATAGTTTGCGCCCACTGTGCTTTGTCCCTCGGTGGCTTTCATGTGGTTCGCGGCGTTCGGTGTTCGGTGTAATGAGGGCCGGCCAGACAAAGGGACAAAAAGGTAGCCCACTGTCCTTAACCCCCTGGAGAACGAATGAACGACACCTGCCGTTTTGCCCACCGTGGAAAGGCAAATTTCTATATTCTGGGTGTTGTTGTTAATGATGACGAAAAGTGTTTGTGAGCGGCTGTGTGTGTGTGTGTGCCTTGTCTCTCTCGCTCTCTCTCAGAGTGTGAAACGCCGGCCGGTCGGCACTGGCTGGTGTACACACACAAATATATATACATGCGTATACATATATATTCATATCACTGTGTGTGTGTGTGCGTATGGCGCTGGCGTCGTTGTCGTGTAAGGTCAATGTCGTTTCGTTCATTCCGGCTGGCAGTAGCCTCGCTGCCCTCCCAGCCCGGCTAGTATTTGAATCCCTCCCCCTCCCCGACTCTGCCATACCCTTTTTTTTGAAGCACACTGCGACCGCCTCGCATGTATCGACTTTTGCACATAGAGTGCTTTGTTGTTGGCGTCGCCACGGCAGACTAACTGCCAATGCCATTCAGTCAAGCAGCCCAGAACCAAAACCAGACTCAGACTCAAGACCCAGGCACAGGCATAGGCACAGGCACAGGCCCAAGACCCAGACCCAGACCCACACCGACTCCCAAGAGCAGTGTGTGAGTATGACTCAAGTAGTCGTCGTGGTTTGAGCTCTGTCTGGGTAATTCTTTTAACGTCTCTTCATTGTTGTCTTTGGCACGACCAACACTTCTAAAGTCGGTGGCTCGCTGAGGCCGCCTTCTTTGTTTCAAGTCTCAGCAGCGGATTAATTTTAAACAATTTTTTGCCTCTTCCTTTTTCTTTTTCTCTGTTTTTTTTTTGTTGTTGTTTAGAGTAGAAAAATTATGTATTTATACATGAAAAATCCGCACTGGACTTGCAAAGTTTAATTGATGCAGAAATTGCATGCGGCCCAAATGGAAAGCTGACGAGGCTGTTGCCTGATGGCTGGCTGGCTGGCATGTTGACTAGTCTCATGCAATGCTGATTATATTACCACATTACCCATGACTCACACACACACACACAAACACACTCACACTGGCAAATGGCACGTTAAATCAATAAACCAGAAATTGGTGGCTCATTACTGCTGGAGAAACAAAAAGTATACACACATACATATATACAAGTAAATCTGCGGTTATATTACACGTTCATTCGTGTGATTAAGTCATAAAAGTATGAATTCTATGGATGCCAGAGAGTGTGGCGCAACACCAGCTGCACAAAATACTTCAAAACGCAATACATAATTGTCCAAAACAGCCAATTGAAGAGCTTGTTATATTCAGCCTTCAAATAGTTCACCAAAGATTGCCAATCTACTTGGAACTGAGAATGAAGTCATTTCTTCTAAACAGGGTTTTTTTTTTTCATGAAGATACTAATACATAAGTCATTAAACTGATGTGCCGAGAAAGATACAAAAAAATGTTTCTTCTTATATGTTTATTTACATGTGGTTTCACATTTTTTTGTACCAAATTTGCACAAATAATTTGCGCGCAAATTTGTCGAATTCTACAAGTATTAGCATGAATAAAAACTAATTCGAATTCTTTGCTATAATGTAATGTATTGCTACAACAAACTTTATGGTGAAATACTTTGCAAAGTCTTCACAAACTTGTACACAAATAATTTGCATGTGTGACCCCAGCTCATGAATGAAGTCAATCTAAATTGTGTTTGCTATGCATTTTTGCCACAAGTCGTATGAATTTGTTATAAAGTTATAGATTGGGCACAAATTTATAATGATATAAATGTTTTTTGCTCACAAATCTATATACTTTATATTATTTATGAAATTCAAGAAACTGGGAGCGATCAAAGCTTTGAAACACCTGCTATGCTCGTAACAAACAGAGTTCAATTCTAATTATATTATCTAGCACGTTGCAAGAGGCGACACAATGCTTCTCCAATTCAAAACAAAGCAAGATCCAGAAGACACTCTTCTTCAGTTAATGTCAAGTTGGTCTAATAAATTAATACTTATTTATTTAAACAAATCTGTACTTTAATTTAATAATAGAATAAGCTTTTGGTAGTGCTTCTTGTGCTTGTTCGATACTTGTATTTAGATCAACTCAATAATTTCTTTAAAATATAACATATGTTCGGGCTTATTCTTAATGTGTTAAATAGTTCGAGTATGAGCCTATACATAGTTGGTCTAGCTCGCCTTTGTGTATACCTGGATATATGTATAGCATATCCCCATTATTCTCATAGAAAGTAACATTTTAAGCAGACTATACCTAATACAAAACGAAACTGAAATGTCTTTAAATAAAACGTGTGTTGGTCGATTGGAAGGGCTTATCCGCCATAAACATAATGTTCCGATATGAAAAAGCTTTAGCTAGATTTTCTATTCTTTCCAATCGTCTCATTAGGTTTACAAGGAATTCTATATGCTAGCTTTTATAACCGTTTACCCTTTAAATGCAGAGTACACAAAATCTGGTTTAGAATAGAACTGTAGCACGATTTCAGAGAGAAATCGTTGGTTCTAAACACGCCCGAAATGCTTACTTGAATTAATTTGCCAAGCGTTGACAAAAGGCCCCTAACATTCTGATTCAATGTTAAATAAAGAGAGACGCGTACCTAGTTGTTGCTGATTCATAAAAAACCCTTGCACAGGTAGGAGTAAATATACTTGTAGGAAAGGTCGCATGTTTACCTCGGTAACCAATACTTTCCAAGACTCAGCCGTACATGGATTAAACAGTTTAAAATCAACAAAGCTGAGCTGGACATGCCTACTACATATATAATTTGATTTGATAAATGTGTTTCCCCATTATAATAATTTCTTGCAGTAAATATTCACTGTGTGCCTTAAAGACATTCGTCACAAGTTTTTGATGAACATTTTTTTCATAATCTTTGCATAAAAAAAATATGAATTTATTAACACCCATATATGTATACCTTTTCTTGAGCAGTTCGAAACCCCATGCTTATAACCAAAACGGAAAACATAAAAAATGAAGTGTAACGAAAAAAAAGTATAAATACGTGTTTCAGCAAAGCTAAAAATAGAATGAGCAATAAATAACAACAAAGGAAAAAAAGAAGTAGAAATAATTCAATTACTGGGGAATGCTCACGGATTTCATTACTACTTAATTCGCTGAATGTTTTACTTCTCAGTCAGTCAGCGGTCCGTCAAGTATTCACGACTACGTGTTGGTGCTGAAGCTGAAGCTGATACAACTTTTGAGACCATTTAAAACAGAATAAAAACATTTGAAGTGCTTAATCACATTTGGTTTTTTTTCAATTGTTTATCTCTCTATAACAAACGGAATTAAGATATCACAACAATGCATATAGTATTAAGATATTAGGTCTGGCTACTTACTGAAATCGATGAGGAGGCGTCCATAGCCCTTGCGTTGATATGGCGGAAGCGTTAGAATGCACGACACATTGTAAAACGAGTTCTTCTCCTGCAAAAAAGAGGAATGGGTCTTTGGGGAATTAAATTATTGAGAATGCGTCCGAGTTAAGAAACAAATATACTAATATACCTTACTTGTATAAGAAAACTAATTAATGGGTAAACTTAGTGATAAAAGTACTTATCTCTATATATATAAAACAGTTTGTCCTGCCTGACTCATTGGCAATCAAGAGCTAGGAAGCTGCAATTTGGAAAATTCGAACTCCAAAGGGGGGAAAACAGGCTCCAACGGCTGTATGAAAAATCTACAATTTCCGATTCACTTCAAACTTAGTTCGTATATTCTCATAAAGAATACAAGAAACAAGGGGTGAAAGTGGTGCTCTGCGCTTTATGACGAACGTCCCATTATCGGCACCGAATACTTAGTTATGCTTCATTTGCATAAATGTCAGACAAGCTATCTCACTAAGTTTTATTTCTATTGCATCGATCGTTTCTGACATCGGAGCGTTCATACAGTCAAACAGACTTAATGAATGGCTCTAGGTATAACAAAATGTGGGCAACATTAAGTGGACAATTTCATTACCCAAATTTTTTTAAAATTTAGATGGCTGCTATGTGAGCTACTGTGATATATTATAGACCAATTAAAACAAACATCACAATCATAACAATCGGACGAATGACCTTATCAAGTTTGCATTCTATAGCTTAAATAGTTTTTGAGATCGGGGCGTCAGTCAGACTTAATGAAATGGATAAATTGACATAAACTGTATAACAAGCAAACCAAATATTAAGATATACTGAAAAGTATTTAAAGCAGACATTCAGTCCTGCGCCATAACTCTTATTTGGCTACTGTGGAAGAACATATTGAACTTAATTCGGAACGCAGTATAGAGCCTGCCTTATGGGAACTAGCAAGACAAAGATGATTTGAGTCATTCGGACCAGCATCTGGATGATATCGAAAGAACAACACTGAGTTGACGTTTTTAAAAAGTATCGCTAATGGGGACCGTAATGAAATCAAGCTGATTTTTCTGATGAACAGAAAAAGAAGTTGACATAAAAGGTCACTTGAGAGGTTATGGCAAACAATAATAAACAAACGAAATTGAAAAATTTTGCATATTATACGACAATTAAATCAATAATAACAAATACTTGTCGAATTAAGCGCCCCAGCCAGGCGGGCAGACAGACAGGCAACACCTCACACAAAAGCCAATTGAGGGTTACAGTGGGCGGGTGTTTGAAGGCAGCGTCCATTGTCGCGGATGCAGGAGAAACACACACACACAGACACATATATACATATGTATATATATATATATATATCTGTGTATATTTTGTTATATGTATATAAATTTATACATAAAGCTCATGGAGCAATCACATTCAAAGTCAGAGCAGCATTCATTTGTCGCTTTTTTCGGGAGTTCAATGACCAGAGAGCAACGAAATCGATGCCGTCTCTCCATCCTTCCGCCTCCCCACCTCGCCAACTCTTCGCCACTGCCACTGCCACTGCCAGAGCTTCAGAGTCTGCTGTTCTGCCACTGCAAAAGCTGCACACAGATAAGGCAATATGTGCGTAAATAATGTGCACGCATATGTACTACATGGGTACACACTCGTACTACTACTGTATACTAGTCGTATATGTATATATATATATATGTATATATAGAGAGGCGATAGATATAGCGTGGATGAGAGCGGGAGGCGATGCGACGACAAAGCGCTCAATAATATGCCGGTGTCTGCATGTACATAAGTATGTATGTATATTCCTATACATAAAAGAGGCCGGAGGGGGGCACTACATATGTGCATCTGTAGCTACTATGCGGCGGTAGTCACATGAGTGCGCCAACATCTGGTATGCACACCCGCTCTCCACAATTCTTCCCCGACGCTCCACTCTCTCTCCCACTCTCTCGCTTTCCCAAAACAGACGACATTGCCAAAAAAAAAAAAAAAGAAGCAAGAAGCTGCTAAGCTTTGTTAGCTTGATATGGCTGTAACTCTCTAGGAGTGTTCATAATTTTGGAAGTATCGCATGTCCCCATGGATATCGTCTGTTGTACAGAAAGCTAAGCATCCAATAACAATCGTTTATTTATTTCATACCCCTAAATGGTTTTACTGAAGTTTCATAGAAGTCTATAGAAAAGAATGGTTTAAACTCTTATAAAAATAACTTTTTAAATTTTTTTGTGAATCAAAAATTAAGCCGAAAAGACTGTGAACACATACTAGAGACATATGGTTATAGATAGTTTTAGCTTCCATTTACATCGGGATTGCATCTATTTATGCCTATAACTTTCTTCAAAACTGACAAATCATGATAAAACTTACCATGAGGAGGGTTCTATGGGATTTCATGGGAAATCATCATCAGAAGAAAAACATAAATTTGATCTGCTTAGGGCAACCTGTATACCAAGTTCTATTATTTTACTTATGAGATACTTTCCCTTATACAGACGGACAACGCTATATTAACTTGTCCTATCATCCTGCTGAAGAATACAAGTATATTTATGGCCTCTGCCGCCTCCTTTTGTGTCTTACATACATTCGCACTTAACTAGTATATACCTTTATCCGGCTGCGGTTTATAGAAGTAGAGCTATTTTAAACTTAAGAAACCTTTAAACATATTGTATTTAATATTTTGGAACGTGGAGTAACTTTGATTAGTTTTCAAACTCTAGTATTTAAAAAAAAAAAAATATTTTTAGTGCGGAATACTGCTGTGTACTAAAATGAAGCAAAAAATGCTAAAGTGTCTGAGTAAGCATTTGGCCAAAATCCAACCACCGTTTTAGCCCGATTTATCTTCGCGTGACTTGTGGTTATTTAATTGATTGAAAACACCACGCCGGAGGCACCGCTTTGACACGATTGTGGAGGCTTAAGTCGAATCGAAGGCTGAAAGCTATTGAAGAAAAGGATTTTTTAGACTGCTTTGACGATTGGAATAAGCATTGGCACATGTGCACTGCATTTGGAGGGGACTACAGTGAAAACATCCTTAAGGGACACCTCGTTTATCCGGACACTCTCTTCGGCGGACACTTTTTTTAAAACATTCGATCGGTGTACAGTGAAAACTCCCTTAATGGACACCTCTTTTATCCGGACACTCTCTTCTGCGGACACTTTTTCTAAAACATTCGATCGGTAGAAAGTATTTAAGTATCCCCTTAAGCGGACACCCCCCTAGGGAGGACTAAAATTGGCCAAGAGAGTTTTCACTGTAATTCAAAGGCGATAAAATAAGTAGATTTCACTGAATTAGTAAATAAAGATTTTAAAAGTTACATCAAAGTTGGTTGTGAATAGTTTCAACTTATCGAAAACAAACAGTGAATGGTTTCTCACATCATTCATAGATCCTATTTCAAGTTTTCTAAAATAGTGAGAGCAAACAAGCATTTCGAGCTGGGAGTTTCTTAAGAACTTCCAAACTGTTAAGGCCAGCATTTATATTTATGTACAAATACCTCCAAATAAACATCTTAATCGTAAACTAATGTTAAATTATTGTAAGAGTCCTAATATTCTTTATTTTCTAATCTTAAAAATATGAATACTTGTAAGTTATTCATTAAATAAACACCATAATCGTAATCTATATTGTTGTAAGAATGTTCTGCAAAAGTTTAACAATTTTCGTTGCTGTTATAAGAATCCTTAGGGATCTCTTGTTATTTAGTTTATGTTTGGTAAAAATGTGCAAAATTAACGCTTGATGTGGCATAAAATAGGAATGTTATATTCGCGATCTTTCTGCAGTTAATATTGGTTGTTTTTGTTGTCGTCAGCTTGTCTGGCTGAGTTCTGGGCCCACCACACAGCCACACACACACACACAATGGGATAATGGGTGTGAACCAAAGGCATTCAAATTTCGGAAACACATTTATGTACAATTTCTTTTTTCCCTACCATGCCCCCCATTTGTCTGCCTTGATGTCTGGACGGAACGCACGTTGCCCAAAAATGCACATAGCCACGCATTTTCCATTGTATTGTATTGGAGCAGGCGCACGACGCTGCTTCAAAACGAACGCCCTGGACGAGGTGCACGACCTCAATCGTGCCGCTGCAACAGCCGCAACAGAGGCAGTGTCAGTGGCAGTGGCAGCGGCAGAGGCAGCATCCACCAAACAGTGCAACTCCTTGCTACCCAAACCCCAAATGTCTGCTCGCTGTCTGCCGCCGCTACCAGCCCAGCCAGACAAGGGACGGCACAAAGGACGGGATGGGACGGGACTGTGTGCAGCTTTACAACTGCCGAAAATTATCAGTGATGCTGCACACATATATATGCGAGTATATATCTACATTTGTGTGTATATATATGTTTGGGTGTAGGTGTGTGTAGAAATAGTATTTCGGAGCGAGAAATACGAGTCCTTGTTAGTTGGTTTTGTGCTATGTAAACTAACATGAAGAGCCCCACAAAGTATACGAATAGTAACTAACTGATGGTTAACGGCAGGACCGGAGGGATAGAGGGACACACACACACACACACACACACATGTAGGTGGCCAGACGCCGACACTCTGCTATGTTGCAGGGGTTCAACAGCCACGACATGCGCAATTTGTAACACAAACCCAGTCTCTGCCGTCAGGGCTGCCAGCGAGGACGAGAAGAACGAGGCATGCATGGAGCAGACGACGATAACCAGGACTGGGACTGGGACTGGGACTGCCACTGGCGGCAGTCGTCGTCGCCCAAAAACTTTACACTTGAAACTTCAGCATAGACCGGCAACAACAATAGAGAGTAAAGAGCGACGCATTTGCATCAAGAGAGGGGGCGAGGTCAAGAAACCGTGCAACAAGGAGCACCGCCGCCCGTACAGCTGACAGGGATGTTTCGCTTAAAGCGGGGAAATGTCTAGCTTATTTACCATCCACCCAGCGGGCCCAGGCGACATCAATGGCAATGGCCATGGCAAGCACAAATAAACAAAAATAAAAAACAAAACTCTCTGTGACTGCGTGCACATTTTTGGGCATGGTCAAGAATTCAGAGACGCCACTGCCACATCCACAGCCAGAGCCAGAGCCACCAGCCGATGTCGATGTCGTCTGTGTCTGCAGACATAAAAGAATCATAAAACTGTAAAATGGTATTATTCAATTTTATTCGTTGTGAAGCGAGGAATATAAATGCAGTGGTGGGCATGTGGCGTCGTCGTCTATTGGACCCACAATGGGCAGGCAGTGTGATTAAAGCTGCCGGTTAGGAAGTGTTTGGGGAAATTGTAGGAATATTGAAAATTCTTGTATAAGACTCTAGTGAATCCTAGCAGGCGAGAGGGTGTGCTTAGGGTTCAATTTAAAATCAAATGCACAAATGTTGCATGAATATGCATTATTCTGCCTTCAATTCTACCTATTGGAAAAGTCTACCTTTTGGTTTAATAAAAGTTATATGATAATGAAATGTGACAATTAATATAGCTGCTCGAATAGGTATGTAAGGAGATGAATATAGAATTTTGTCAGATTAAATATAAGTTAACTAAGCACCCAGTTTGTTGACTCTAGTTTAAATATTTTCCAAAAACCAGATATTCCGAGGGCCTGATATAGCTAATTTCCATAGTAAGAAGTCTCATTCTAAATTTCGAGTACGGAATAAAGTAGATTTTAAAAATCGTACAGGGCAGGCACGGTGAAGGGAGTCAGAATTGTTAATCAGAGGTTTTACAAACTTTGAGATTTTTAAATTCAAGCTAGACAAGTCAACAATTTCGATTCCATTAACAGTTCCTCCTCCTCCACCTCCTTTCCAACTAAAGTACAAATACTATACTTATACCTAGCCTTAAAATAATAGGTTTATACTTATTTTTAATATATTATCTCTAAGATTAGTTATTGAAATTCAAACCAGCGCATTGTTTTTAACTAGATTTCTACAATAAGTTATCCCCAGAAATGTAAAGAGAGAAATGTGGGGAACCCAACCTCTGCCAAATATCTAATATCTCTGGACACCATATCGGTTATGAACGGATCGAAATTTCTGCCGATTATTAACATATGCAAGCAACCATTTCAATAAAAGTTTTATATATCTTTAAGTTCTAATTCTGTAAGTACCTCAGCAATATTTATTTAGTAATACAAGTCTATAATTATATATGTATAAGTAAGTATATTTAAGCTCACCTTGCTAAAGTATCCCACAATGTGACAGCCATCAACATCGGCCAATGTCATAATATAGAATAGGAACGGCTCCACATCGTAGTACAGAGTTTTGTGATCGAGAAAGAATTTGGCCAGCAGACACAGGTGCTGGCAATATTGCTTGTAACGTTTCCCATCCACCTGCCAGACTTGCAGTTTGCCCTTCCGATAAATCTCATCGCCCGGCGGATGCCGCCAGACGCATTTCTGTGCGTGTCGCTTTATGCCCGTCTCGGATTTTTGGTAACGCAAACAGAACTCGCAGATGTACATTTTGGGCAGGCGTGCGGCATCATCCGGATAAGGCGACTGATACCACACCTTCATCTTGTACTTGCCCATGGTAATGTATCTGGGAAAGGGGGAAAATGTTAGCAAGAAAAGTATGGAATGCAAATTAATTGATAGCTCACTTGATGCCTTTGCCCACGGGCAGATCTTTGAGTTCATCTTCGATTTTCTCCGATGCCAACGCTTGGGCCTCGCGAAAAAGCTGCAGATCGTAGTCCGGTACCAGGCCCGCTAAATTTGGCTCTCGATCCTCATCGGTGCAGTCTTTTTCCATCCTAACCTGGGAATTAAATTGCAGATTAGCTGTGGAGTTTAGAAATAGTCTCACAGTTTTGGACATCAACAACAATTTGGTCTGTTTGGGATATTTGGTACCTTATTTAACATTATTTTATTTTTATAATTTTTGCTAAAAATTATAAATTTAAAAATAAATAGATTGTATTTATAGTGCCTTGCCTTTTTCAGAAACTTTTTCTGCAAAAGAAAAGAAAAAACCAAAGCGAAAGCTGGTAAGAATTTTGAGCAATATCGATATAAATTTGTTTAATTCGATGGAACAGAATGAAGAACGATCATTGGATGATGTGGAGAGATGACCAAATAGCAAAGTGGGTTTACCTTTTCATGACTTATAGTGGCATTCACAGGTCGAAAGTTGGCGCGAGATTCACGAATTTTTGCCAAAAATTCCCTCTGCTCCGGCGTCAACAATTTCACATTGGCCTGCTGATTGCTTGACGTCGTCACAATATTAATGGGCATCTTGAGTCTCTGCTCGTTGCGTAGTTTGCGCTCATTGGCGCGCTCCTTGCACTCCGAGGCGGACATGTTGTGATAGATGGGGCAGGCTTCCGGAAGAAAGTGGCGATCCGAATTGCCACTGAGATGACCCGACGAGTCGCATCCCTCAATGGGACATTTCTTCTCGAGCTGCACGGCTGGCGATTGAGGACGCGTCTTGATTGGAACCGAGCCCAGGCCGCCACCCTCCTTCTTCACTTTAGATTTGCTGTTGTTAAGCACTGCAGCGGGTTTCTTTGCGGGGCTTTTCGCGGGGCTCTTGGATGGAGAGCGCTTCTGCTCATCCAGCTCACCATCCGTTTCGCTATCGCTGACCTGCTTCACTTGCAGCTTGGAGCGGCGCATGCTTAGCGAGCGCGTCAGCTTGCGCATGGGATTGGCCTTGTCCTTGCGCTCCTCCTCGCTCTCGGAGCGTGTTAGTTTGGCGCCCACGCCACGCTTACCTTTGGTATTTTTCGCCAGCTGGGAGCTATATGAGTTGGTGGAGTCGCTGGCATTTGAATCACTCATGGAGCTGGAGTCTGAGTCGGAGCCACTATCCGAGTCGCTGCCCTCGGAACTTTTACTGCCTTTCGTCGGGCCATTCTTGTTCATGGGATTGCTGTTATTACTCTTCGCCTGCATTTTGGCGCGCATTTGTTTCGCTCGCACAGCAGACGCTGTGCTGGCCATTTTGATGGGTACTTTACGGGCATTCTTGCCCGCCTCCTTATTCGAGTCATCAGAGGAGGACAGAGAGGGCCGCACCTTGTTGCCGTTTTCGGTGGCACGAGCCGCGGGTGCTCCTCCTCCCCCGCCTCCAGCACGTACATTTGTGGATTGTGCACTGGCTTTTTGGGGTGCTCCTTTGCTGCCAGTGCTGGTTGTGTTCTTTGGCGCAGGTCCTGGTCCTCCAGTAGTTGATTTTCTCCGCGCCGTACTATTTGGAGGTCGCCCCACTTTCTTTGCTCCTGTAGGCGGCGCCTTTCCTTTCTCATCATCTTCATCATCGTCGCTCGACAATTCCCCATTCCTTTGATTTCCAGCCGTAACTACAGCCCGCACTTTGCTGGAAGTAGAGGCCAGCGAGCTGCCTCCGGGCTTTGGTTTTTCATTTTCTGCGGCCGACTTTCGTCTCGCGGCCGCTGGTTTGGCCGGCACTGTATTTTCCTCAGCACCGGAACTGCTCGACTCTGTTTCCGAGGAGCTGCCCGTATCCGTGCAGCTCGTGGAGCCACTGCTGGAGCTGCTGCCTGAGCTGGAGCTTGAACTTGAGCCAGATTCCATTCCGATTGAACAAATACTGGCGGTAAATAAATAACACACAGATACACACACACACACACAAACAGACAGACAGAACACCAATTACGAAGGCGGCTCGAAAAGAAGGCGCTTTGGTTTGCAAGCAATTGCGGTGTAAAAATCCGAATAGGAGCAAGCTTGCTGCATATATTGCACTTGTTTCTTTTAAAATTATGCGGCTATTTGTAAAAATTACAACTTTTGTTTGTTTCGGCTATAAACTCGCCATTCTGCTTCTTCTTTAACATCTGGTTGGCCCTGCCAACTTCCTTTCAAGAAGCTACGGCTTCCAACACTGAATGTGCGGTTATAACTTATCGAAATAGAGGGTGGCTTTTGAAATTCAAAATTACTTTAATATAAAACTATGGAAGTTAATAACGGCGTATTTATAACGTTTTAGCAAAGAAACAGTGTCTTGTTATTAATCGTAAATTCATAAAAATATCATAAAATATTTATAAAAGTTGAACGTAGTGTTGTTTGGTGTGACTTTGCTGGACGGTAACAAGACACAGTCACGCTCACACTCATCGCTACAACATTATCGATGTTTTTTTATTGTCGATTATAGGGACAACGTATAAAAGTTAAACTTTTGATATTAATTTGTATGCTGATAACTAATTTAATGCATTTATTTGTGCACTTTAATATTGAAAGAGATTTTTTTACTTGTTTCTAAACTCGAAAAAAATGTTAACAGTTTCTGCGCCTTAGGCGATCTTTGGTTTAATTACAAACTAGAAAAAACAAGTAAAGTTAAAATATATAAGGGCTCACTGCTATGACTGATTGAGTACCAAATCAACAAACATCAAAACCAAATGATGAAGCCGCGAAATTAAGGCACTGGTTTCGTTTAATTGTTTGAACAAGGTTTATGAAGCGGTTTTTGAGAAATTCAAACCAAATGCTTAGTATAAAGATTGAGCTTTATTGAAAGTCGGACTTCTAGCTTATAACTTCCGTAAAACCGTCTGCAATTTGAAGGAAAAAATGAAAATGTGATGTGCCGGGCTGACTTCAATACCATTAAGAACAAGAAGTCTTCAAGTTATTCACCAATTATGTCTAGCAACAAATTTATATAAAAATAAAAACTCTGTCACACAAATATATAAATTAGGTTCCAATGCCATTAACAATTAATGCAAACATAATTCCAATTCTAACATTCCGGGTGTTCCTCTACTATTTATAACATAAAAGAATCCGAAGACCAAGGTACAATATTTTCGTTTTCATGTGTTCTGGGGTAAGGAAAGTTCCTGACTGCAATTGTTATTCTTATCTTTGCAATATTTTTATCGTCGGATAAGAAGAAGATAAGTTATTTGAATAGTCTTGTGGAAAATATTGCAATGTTCAACTATGGAAGGTGTGGGAATTCAAATGGCAAACTCTGCATGATTTTTAACAAACCTACAGCCTACTCATCCATTATCACACAGCAGGGGGTATCAGCGGGTGTTGTAGTCCGCCTCCCATTATGTTAAAACACAGAAAATCGGTAAACAGGTGGGGGAAGCACCATTTACAATAAGTATGTGACATAAAATTTATTCCAAATCGAGTTAAAAGAGATATAGAGAGTTTGTGAAACATTCTGTGGATATGTCGCATTACAATTACATACATACAAACATACATAAGGCGAAACAAATCGAGTATTATTTTTGTAAGAGAACAACTAAAGAGTTCCACATTTACATACATGTATATGTGTGTGAGTGCGTGTAAATGTGTGTGTTGTGTGTGTATTTGTGCTTGATTGTGTGTGTGTGTGTGTATGCGAGAGAGTGTGGAATTAGCTTAAGCTACTGCTTGGATCTCCATCTTAGATCTTCTTCTTCTTCTCGTAGAAAGACTGCACGGCTTTCAGCAGCCATCCAACCTCCTCAACGGTCTTGATCTGATAATTGGCATAGGTCTTCAATGTGGGCAGCTCCGAGACACGGAAAGTCTTGCCAATGCCGTGCAGCACCTTAATGGCATCCTCATCGGTAGTGTCGTCGCCCACATAGATGATTTTCAAGTTCTTGGCCCAATCGGCATCGAATTGCTTCTCCAAGATCATCTTGGCGCCCTCACCTGCAAAGCAAAGGGAGATTTCATTGTTAGTTCAAACATACTTAGCATGGGCAACAGATATCTGATATTCTTTATAATAATATTCCTAATCTAAAGGAGTATTATATCTTATAATTGGTTTACAGAACAAACGTAGAAATACTAGTATTAAGAAATATTTGATGGTTTTTTTTTTCTTTACTAACAAATATTAATTTCGGAGACAACCTATCCTTTCGATAAAAGAATAAACTGTTGCGAAAAGTAGACAACTTTAAGACTTTCTATAACTATTATTTAAACTAATTGCTAGATATATTTACATAATCATATTAGCAAATATATCACTAATTCTCGATAAAAATCTTGTGTAACATTCTATGATGTGTTAGGAAACTGTGAATAATTGGATCGAGGATTGGATAAAAATTTGTTTCATCAAAAGAAGATAGTTCTGTATATCAGATGTATGTCTTAGATATTTGGTATATCTACTTATAGAACTAAAATTGTAGATATGTTTTTTTTGTTCGAACAAAGCAAGCTATGGGCGTAATCCTAAATTCATAATACATAGATGTTTCTTTAATTAACTATGGATAGCTCTGCTAATGGCATAACTTTCTGTTCCGAGGTGACCAAACTATATAAACGATAGATTTTGTATTTAAGAATTAAAATAATACAATTTCAAGAGGATCATTAATTACTTTTAAGAAACTGGAAGAAATCATATAAATTTTCTTTCACCACAAGCCGATAGTTATATACGTATTATATTTAAGAAATTTGATATTTTGAAAGTTTAGTTTTCCCAGCAAAATTATTTTAATTGGCATTCATTTCCATCGGGATGTAAACAAACTATACTATATGTTCAATCATAAACGATTGATGTGGCATTTCAGAACATGGGGCGATCTATTCGTGGAACTTTTTTGGAACACTTGCGGAAAATCACCGCCGCTTCAGTAATAAACATGAGCGAACATGGAAAAAATGGGAGAGCTTTTAAATTAATATGCCTACATTGGTGTCTACATATGTGTTGGGTTTTGTAGATCAGTGTCTATATAGTGGGCCACATGGGGATCGCCTGCAGCGCCATCGACAAACACCGAGTGGAAAATGTATCTAGATATATTCTGTGCTGTTTTATTTTTAGTCGCTTGCGTGGGCGTGGAGCGCGCAAATGTTTCTCATCTTTAGTTTATTTGCGCGTCGTCAAAGTAAATGTGTAAGAAAATGAAATTGAAATCATTTACATCATTTAAAAATTTGTTGCTGCTGCCGCTCATTTCATTTGTTTTGACAATTTTAATTATGCTTTGGTTGTTCGCTTTGTTTCGCCACATTTTTTTGCCTAATTGATGACGCGCTGGTAGCCACCAATACAATCCCCCCCCTCCCCCCATCCATCGTTGGTTAACCGCTCTTAATGTCTCTTCATATCATCTCTCTAGTCGTTTGGCTTCGCGGCTGCATTTTTTCAGACGGCACCAACAATTCTTTTTTGGTTTGTTGTTCCTATTCTATGCCGCAATGCGCCTCACCGCGCCGCTTGACGGCTTCAATTTTTCAAAAAAGAAATTTTTTTTCCCAAAAAAATAAATTCTTTTTTGCCGCTTGCTATGAAATTCTTGGACCTATATGTATGTACGTGCAATATTTTTCCACAACAAATTTATTGGTTTGTATAGCGTACAATCATAATTAATTTTTATGTCTTTGCACATTTTTTTCTGTTGTTGTTGTAGCTCTTGGTGAGTAGTAGCCTCTAAATTATGCGCCCGTTGTCACAGATCGTTTGGGAAGAATTGCTTTTGTGAGACAGTTGGACGCGACAAATGGTCGCACGGGTGCTCGTAAATATCCAGTATGTCATATGTGCATAAAGAAGGTGGAATGATTCGAAATATAACATCGGATCATGAATATATCGTTGATCTTTTGAGAACAATAATCCGAACAACGTTTTTCTTGTAAGTTCTTTGAACTGCTTATTTGAACATCAGATCGCTGAGATATCAGTGAGAACAACTAAGCTCTTAGTAATCCCAAATGCAAGCCATTAATCGGAAATAAAAGATGGAACAACTGTCTATAACTCTTGCCTTTTGATCTTCTATACTAATTAAGACTCAGCATCATAAATTTCTGTCTCAAATTTTTCTTTTTCAATATCTTTAATAAAACAACAGCAGCTCATTTAGTTAAGAGTGGTGCCACAACATTTGGCGACCCCGACCTGATGGAATATTGAGGGATAAAAATTATAATTATAATAACACTCTATGCACTCGAAGCAGATGGTAGTACAATAATGTTGCTCTTCGGGTGGTCTTGCCAGGCACCGTCGGATTAATTTGCCTCCCTCCCTATTAAATTACTTTATTAATTTTGCACAATATTTTAAAAGGGAGAAAAATTGGGCGACCCCTATGGATATTGTAGAGAACAGCATGGAGCTTATAAATGGTCGGAATGCTCTTCTTTTGTTGCACTAAATAGTACGAACGCCAATCTTTCTAAAATCTCTCTACTGTACGAAACATGATGCCTAAGAATATTTCCCGTTGAACTATCCAAACTCATTTCTATGTTGCATAGCTCCCCTTAGAGGTGCAAGCTAGCACATTTTGCAACTCCAAACTAATGGTTGCAGCACAACATTTGGTGACCCCGACTTGAAGTCGCTATCACTGCAGAAATACAGACAGAGATATTCTCATTTTTAATTGTTGGGGAATATGCTATAAGTAGTTCAATAATCATAAGTACTGTCTATATTTTGAAACCAAGCTTTAAATCAAAGCAAATTCCAAACAAAAGTGCAATGAATTCAGGTGCAGTCACAACATTTGGTGACCCCGACGTGCAGTCGCTATCTCATTAGCACTGCAGAAATTCAGGTAGAGAAATTCTCATTTTAAATTGTTGGGGAATGCAACGAATTTGAATGTCTGTCAGGTGCAGCTTTTTTATCTTCTGGTTCAGCATTCTTATATAGTATTTAAGCAATTAATCCGAAATACATGCATCTTAATAGTTGTACGTATACCTCCCACCAAGTAAATTGTCGCCACATTCACATGTGTTTTTTTTTTCATTTAGAAAAAAAAGGCACACCTCTCACGCAAAACTGACTGTCTGATGGACAGAGAACAAAACCGAAACAACAGCATTTCAAGATATTTAAAATAAAAGCGAATATCTTACACAAATTTGTTAATTTATCATACCCGTAAAGAATCGAGTGAGTAGAGAATACACACACAAATATCGGGGGTCGTGCTTCTGCCATCATTTGGCTGCTTGTTTGTCTAGCCCGAAAGGCAAAAAACAAAAAGCCAAAAGCCAGAAAATAATATCTGAGGAAAAAACAGGCTATTCATGCTAGAAAATGACTCGGTCGTCCGCATACATAAATTCTCAGATATTTTCATTTGGGGCGGTGAAGTTGATTTTCTAGAATTCTTTTCTAAACGCCCACATTCATTTCTCGTAATTGTGCACAACAACATTGCTACAAGTATGTGCGAACTGAATAAATGTGTGATGGGAATATATATCGGAAAATATATTAGTCGGAATAATAAATAATTAAATCATCGAAGCGTTGTGCCCAAAAATCGAATTGTCTCGAACAGGTGCCGACGATGACAATTTTTTTTGGCATCCAATGGGCGACAACAGTTGGCAACCGAACGATGAATTATGATATCAAAAGTGTTGAGGTTCCACTATTCACATATACTCAAATATATTTTGCACTCACCTTTGTCCCAGTTGACGCGTGGCTTGCCCTCCAGAGCGTAGGGGGTTTCAATCAGCTGGAAGCCATGACCCTGAATCAAGCCCTTGGCATCGGCAATCAATTTGGTCTTCAGCTTATCATTGACACCCTTGTAGTGATAGGTCACAGAGATTTTCTTATCCTCCACCCAGGCACCAGAGCAGACGACCTACATATGCATTAAAACGAACCATCAGATCGATGTACGGTTGGCTGGAAATGGATCTCTCTCGCTTACCTTCTCCTTCAGTTCGGTGACCAATTTGTTGTGCTTCTCCAGCAGCTCTTCGGGCATTTCGATCTTGAACTTCTTGCCCGATGGGTACTCCACCTCGAGACCATGGTTACCAGCATAGGTAACATTGGGGAACTTCAGATGGTTCTTGATTTCGCTCAGTTCGCGACCAGAGAACACAACCATGAAGATTTTGTCGTTGGCGGCCAATTTCTTGATGTTGATCTCAGTATCCTTGGGCATGACCGAGAGCTCCTCGGTAAGTGGGGCCAGTGTGCCATCGTAGTCCAGCAGCAGAGCCACCTGATCCTTGTCGGGCGTTATGAAACTGTACAAGCAGCAGGAGGTGTATTGAGCATTTCGTGTCCTTAACAAGTTGCTGGCAATTTCGCTTACCCCTCCAAGGCCTTCACGTAATCCTCCTCCTTCTTCAAGAGTGGTGCCTTCTTTTGTTCGGCCATTTTGTTCAAGCGTTGCTATTTATATTGCGTCTATAACTCTGCCGTATCTACCGGAAACTGTGCGCCGTGCTGGACGTACCTCGACCGACTTAATACTAATGCCAGCGACGCGCCAACTACACGGCACTGATCGCTTTCTATATGTACATACCTATATATGTATGCTTATGTATGTATGTACAATATGTTGCTGCCCCATTGCCGTGTGGCTCTCACTGCGCATTGATTGTTGGCCGATTGTTGTTGGTGGCAACTCTGGCCGCCCCGTCTGTTGGCCAAGTAATCCTCACGATATTTATGAGGCATATGCGCATAAAAAAGCACATACTAATGGATTTCTATATGCTATATACACATGTATTTATATATATATTTGTGGCTGTATGTGTGTGTAGGTGTGCGAGAGTTCTTTATATAGCGTGAAAGAATGAATAGTTATACACACCAAATCGGTGCCTATATACACACTATATATATATAGTATTTGGCCCAAGTGCCTCTGGCATACAAGTATGACGTCTTCGCGCCGTTCCGTTGACTTTTCGTTACACCTTTGTTTGAGGTCGTTTTTGTTTTGGAATTGGAAAATGGGCCGCAGGCGACACACTTGCCGGCACGTTTCTCCGCTGCTTCGAAAATATCGTATATATAGTATTTTTGGAATATGAACTCACTAATCAAATGGAAAGGGGACACAACTAGATTAGTCTCCACAGTTTGCTTTTCTGCACTTAGCTTAGAAAGTGCTGGCAAGCTGCGGATCTATATCCAAGTGATATATAGCTAGATGGATCAGAATTTGTGTAGCTGAAAATTTCATTCCAATTGTTTCTAAATGCATTTCAGCCGAAAGAAAAAGACACTCAGAAGTCACTATAGTATAGTGCATAAATAGAAGGAAGAATTCTAAAAGGTAGCTGGAAATTGAAAGTGAATAAATAATTAGAAACTGAACTTTACAAAATATTCACCAACAATAATGCAATTTCTTCAATAATTTCTTAAGATTTGTAGTACAAATTATGAACAATCATTGGACGGATTTGAAGATGTCTTGGCTCGTGCTTTAAAGAACAATATTTATTCCATTATTTTGCATTCTCTGGATCTATCTTGAGCAGGAATAGTTGGTACTCCTTTAAGAATTTTAATTTGAGCAGAATTAGTGTTGATCAGATTTATAATCTAATTGTTACAGCTCCTGCATTTATTATTATTTTTTTTATACTTATGCCTATTTTAATTGGTGGATTTGGAAACTGATTAATTGCTTTAATATTAGCAGCCCCAGACGTAGCATTCCCTCGAATTAAAAATACAAGTTTTTGAATACTCTTTTACTAGTAAGTAGTACAAAAGTAACATATTCATTCGATGTTTATTGATTTGACTTTTTAATTGTGCTCATTATTTTATGCCCTAAGAAAAAAACACATTCTTTGATAGATTATATTATTATAGATTATATTATAATATTATTATATACATATATTACTGAAGTTAATCAGATGAAAATTGTAGATTTTGCAAACAAACTTTGGAGCCCATTTCTCCCCCTTTAATTCATTAATTAAATACATTTGATTAATTTACAATTTTTAATTTATTGATAAATCGTTATTTAATACAAATTCTGGGTCTTAGACTTCAATACAAGTTATTGTAAAATATATTCACAGACTAATAAACTATTAACTGTCATTTAAAATAATTTCATATTATAAACGAAACATATAGTATAATCAATAAGCAGCTTAATTTTAACAAATTGCTTTTGAAAATGTGTTTATTTTAATTGCATAATGGTCCCATACCTATATACTTATATACATCAGTATAAATAAGTCGAAAAAGGTTCATTTCACATTTGCTGTTTAATTGCTAGATATATGTATGTACATAGATAAAATCGTTATATGTATAGTTTAAAAGGTACAATGTAATTAACAATGCTATGCTAACAATTATTAATTCTAGACCACATAGACGCGTGCTATCCACTTCAGCAGATCGGTGACCAAATCCTGTTTGGGCAATCTATAGTCGGCAAAGGTCTGGATCTGTGCGTCAGCAGCAATGCGGAAGGAGCGGCCCACGCCCTGCAGCAGCTGTAATACAAGGAAAAGCATATATAGTATTTAGCTTAGTTACTGCAGTTTTTAGAAGAGAAAAACTTACCCTCATGGCATCCTCATCGGTGGTATCATCACCAGCAAACACCACATTCAGCTGCTCCTCCCAGTTCTCTCCAAACTTATTCCTCAATATATACAATGCTGCCTCGCCCTTGTTCCAATTTACTGGGGGCTTGGCCTCAATGGCTTCATGCGCCTGATTCGGACGGAAACCGTGTTTTTCAATAATTTCGGAGGCCAACTTCTTCAGCGGGTCTTTCAGCTCTACGGGCGCATCGCGATAATGGAATGTTAGCGACACTTTCTTATCCTCGACCCAAGCACCGTTCTTATAGACACGCTCGTTCAGTTCCTTCACCAGGGCAGTATAATTCTTTTGGATTTCAGCTGGCAGTTGGTAGTCGTGGCGCGAGCCATCGGGATATTCTATCTCTAGACCATGATTACCAGCATAGGTAATGCCGTCGATATTTACGCGTGACTGCACATCCTTCAAGCCACGTCCCGAAATTACGGCCATGAATATTTGCGGATGTTTGGCAATCTTATGCAATATTATCTCCAGCTCCACAGGCATAGCTGTTTTATTCGGATTATCGGCAATGGGCGCCAGAGTGCCATCGTAGTCCATGAGTACAGCTAGATTTTTACCTGTATTCAGGTAGCTGGAAATTGAAAGAGAATAAGGATTTAATTAGAAACTGAGATTTACCAAATATTCACAAACAGTAATGCAATGTGTGGGTTGCTTTTTGATTTCTCCAATCAAATTTATAGTACAAATTATGAACAGTCATTGGACGGATTTGAAGATGTCTTGGCTCGTGTTTTAAAGTATAAATTTAGCTGGGAAAATAGATAAATTAGTCCCAACAGACTCTAATTGAATCATCTCTTATGTTCTTAAATATCAGACATACTCTGCCTTTTTCTTTTATGAATTGGGAATTGCGAATTCGATTGCAAGTGTTATTTTGTTTCTTTTGTTCTTATATGAGTGAAGATAAAACTTCGAGCGAGTTCTCATAGCTCTCTCCGCTTCTCTAAAGTTCCGTTAAGTTAGGGGCTTTGCAGATTTACTTTTCCACTTTCCTCTGCTAAATTGAAATCTAAATCTATTGGCACTTTATGTTTATATGGACTGTAGAAAATATTGGTTTATATCATATATTAATTAAGAACTGTAGACATTCCCAATAAAGTTCTTATTCTGAAATATAAGTAATATTTTCAAAATATTTTCAACATTGAAAGCAATATGTAAAGATTACTTAAAGAAATACTTAATTGAATATTGAAACTACATTCTTGTGTGTTTCACAATCAAAAGAGAGTTTACCAATATAGCTTCAGGTTTAAAATGAAATCAATAGATGCTTTCTATAAATACTAAGCTATATTCTCTACAAAAATTAGTTTCGAATCGTTTTAAGTACAGTAATGATGAGATTTAGCAAGAGTGTTAAGAAGAGTTGTAAGTTTTAAGTAAATTATTTACAGATTTTTTTTGTATATGAACTATTTTCTGTACACTTTCTTAAAAATAATAGTTTTAAAACATAACATAAAACATAAATATATGAATGCCATTAAAATAAAACCGAGTTGGAACATTAATAACTGAACTATAAGTCAAGAAAGCTTAAGAACAAACACCTTGAAAAATAAATGAATATTTTTAATACAAAACGTAATGGATAAAGCTCAAGGAACATTTCTGATAAAGCGTTCTTAAAAGCAAGCCGTCCAGCATTTAACAAAATACATCTCAAGGCAGAAACTTGAAATCAAGAGCTTGCTTTATAAATTTAACAATTAAAAAAAATTTGAAATAACTTGAATCATCTTATGATAAGTGACAGTGGGAATAAAACAGTTTAAAATCAAAATTAAGCTGAATTGCAGAATTTGGCAATGATTCTCTGATATCTGAACTATATCTCAAAACTAAACGAAATGGCTTAAGAGCAAGGCACGTTTCTGATAAAGTGTCTAATGTTTGATAAACTTGCTCTAAAGGGAATAGCTGGGCATCGATATATTTGTACACTTTTTGATCTGGATAATCTGCCATATAGACCGCTGTCTGTTGTGCAGTGTTCTGACGTATGTTAGCAAAATTTCCATTTGTTGTCTAATCCGCTGAAGCTTTTGCTCTGTCAGCTTTTTCCGCTGTCTGTGTTATCAGCAGTGCTTATTACATGACGCCGTGCTGTGGCCTCAGACAAGGTCATCGATTGGCTTACTTACCCTGGCATTTTCTGCTCGAACTCCTCCAAGCGAGTGATAACTGGGGCAATGCGTTTCTCTGGCATTTTGCGGGGGTCCTGGTGTTGTGCGGCACTCAGAGCGAAGAAGAATAAGATCAGCAGCAGGCTTAGTACCAGATGGCTGGGCGATTTAGATTGTAGCTCTTGCACTGCGGAAGAGGGAATTCCGAATATTATTAGGTGATTGTGTCTATCGCAATCGAATGCTCGGACTGAACTGTGCGATGTCTGAGCAGCTCGGGGCGCTTATAAACCGAAGCAGAACAAAAATCAAATCGAGTCGAGTCGAAACTCGTCTAGCTGATAACGGATCTGGCTGTGGCTCTATTATAAGAACGAGGAAAACACTGTTGATAAAGACTCGGCAGGTGTTCGCTCTCTTGCTCGATTTCGACGGTTATTACTAAACTCACGCTTACTGGGTTTGTTGATTTGTTCTATTAGCAATGTCTGATATTACGAGTCTCGTTGAAACAGCTGTGATCGGTGCGTGGCCACTAGCCATGGCCAAGGTAGTGAGTGGCCCATTAGAGTGTTTACATCTCTTCAAAATTCAACTCGTAGTACGTACCCCTTAAGATTTCCACTTGTTGACTGGCTCACAACTCGCTCACGACTCTGCTGAACGCTGTGAGGCTTTCAACATCCGCGACATGCGTTTTTATAACAAGTCGAAAGATTTCCTTACACTACTATATGCCAGTTATTCAGACATTTGTGCTTTTTGTTTGAGACAAAGGCGCTACTTCCCCTCCTCCCAGTACCCAGTACCCAGTCCCCCTTCCCCCTTCCCGCTTCCCATCTGGAAATCATTTTCTCATACGCAATGCATCATGCATTCCGCTCGTGGCAGTTGCGTGCCAATAGCCTGCCTGTCTGCCTTCACATTGTGTTCACTCGTGAAGTGCGTTGACAAAATCATAAATTCTTTTATACATTTATAGAGCTACGAATGCGAATACGAGTATGTATCGTTCGCGTGCACTACGCCAATGGCCAGTGGCTGCGTAATTGTGTCGAAATTTGACTAATTAGCGTGGAAAATGCCAAGCGTCTTATGCCATTTGCTTTGATGATGTCAACCAAGAAGAAGGAGACACTCAATTAGCCCCCCGAGAGAGACAGAGAGAAGCTCGCAATCGAATTTATAATCCCCTGATGCCTGTTGATAAGCTTTAGTTGTGGGTGGTTCGGGCTGTAACATTTATTTGTTTGACTCGAATTTCCGCTGGCGACGAAGTCGAAGCCTATTATTATACATATTTGCTTACATAAAACGGTAAGTATTTAAGACATAACAGGTATTTAATTCCTGTTTTGATTGGGGATTACTGAACATAAACAAGTCGGTATTGTGATTTATTCAAACATTTAAGGGATGGAAACAGACGGGTATACAAGTAAAGCCATTAATAGCAAAGATTGCAAACTGAATGCTGGCTGGAACACGATTGTGATTTGGCGAACAACTAGAAGAACGACTGGGAAATGGCCAGAAGAATTGAAGATGAGTTGTATGCCTGACTAGAAATTATATATTTGAATACTGCAACCAAAAGATCAATGAAGAGAAAACGACAAGAAAACTCATTGGTAGAGCGACTGGAGGAAAATAAAATAAAATAATAAATAAAAATCAAAATAAAAAATAAAAATAACAACTGCAACTAAGGAACAATTCAACCGATTAAAGTATGAATACAGCTCTAATAATGATAACTAAAAGCTACTTATGAACCAAAGTGATGATTGTCTGTACACCAGCTATATAGAAGAATACACGTATCATAATAAAAATAACTTGACATTAGTTAATTGTTCAAGTTCAAGTTGTTCAAAGTCAAGAAAGTTATTTCTGATTATATTCACTGTTTTATTCTTAGATTAGTTACTAACTAAATAAGTTCTATAAAAAAGAATTCATTAGTAATATAGTTCAAAGGTCAATATTAACGTACTAATTGGCTTGGCTCTAATAAATATAACTAAAAGCTACAAAGTATATTATCTGTACACCAGCAATATAGAAGAATACACGTATCTTAATACAAATAACTTGACATTAGTTAGTTGTTCAAGTTCAAGTTGTTCAAATTCAAGAAAGTTATTTCTCACTGTTTAATTCTTAGATTAATTACTTACTATATTAATGCTATCAAAAAGAATTCATTAATAATATAAAGGTCAATATTAATGTACTAATTGGCCTTGGCTCGATAACAATTCGTTCATCTACTTAGTTGTCGTCTAATTATCTTACACTCTCTTTTGTTTGTTTGTAAACATTTAATTTGAGTAAACTATTGGCTGGCCTTTGCTCATTCATTGTTTATGTTCAGCAATATAATATATATATAGCATAGTTTCCTGACTCCTCTGACCCATTTAGCCGCGAACAAGACCTAGTCACACAGCCTCTAGTCACCCGATAAAAATTTGCCAAGTCTGTCTGGATGGGAAAACACGCCTCCGGCTCATGTTAACACAATCAAAAACAGCAAACTGTTTGTTCACGATATTTGTGAACACACAATAGATATCACTATAAAGAGAGTGGAAACTAAAGAGCGATAGAGAGGGAGCGAGCGAGAGAGGGAGAGAGAGAGCAGGGCATTAGCTAAAGGCAAACAAAACAGAAGCGCAGGCCTATCTTAAGTAAACAAGTTATAAGTATCTACCATTATATGTATATATCAGAGTTTTTCATGCACATTTTATTGTACGAGTCTCTGGAGCCTTGCAACGTCGACTACTTAGCATGCGTTTAATTGCACATATTTTAATTAGAGGCCCATTTAAGAGCTATCGATGAAGAAGCAAAAATAAAAAAAAAACCAGACAGTTACTAATTTGTTTAAATTAATATTTCCGTGTGTGATGAGCTAAGCAAATACTATATACTAGTAGTAGTGAAATATTTATAAATTTCACGTTGTAAACAGGTGACACATTTCAAACATATTTTCAGAAAAGTAAATAATTTTCATGTTCTACAAGTATTTTCCACTCACTTTTGTTTCACTTCCCACAACCGGAATTGTCAATCTTAACGCACTTATTATTTGTAACACAGCCAAATGCTATAATCTTCGACGTAATGTCAACTGTGTCTTTAAGCCAATTTGTAAATATTTTCTTTGAAATTACTTTCCAAGCCAATTTGTAAATATATATGCTGGTTTTCTTTTTTGGTTTGTTTGTTTGATTTTCAGTGTACAACGAAATGAACGAGGCGGCGCAAAATGCGAGGCTTGTTTGTTTTCTAAATTGGTTTTGCGTTGAGCTTTACGATGTGCAAAGCTCTTATATACACAGAAACAATCATACATATATGTACGAGCATATATTATATATGCATTTTGAAATATTGTATGTTATGTACATATATATTGAAAGCCGATGCAATGCAGGCGCATTATAAATAGAAATATTAATACCCATCGCTTTTATTGTTGCTCTTTTCCACAGAAACAGAAAACAGAACAAATACTTTATTGTTTAAGAGAGGCACTAAAGAGAGAATAACAATTCAGTCCACATTTGTTTACAAAAAGCTGTCTGAGAACAGATTTTTCAATTTCAATTTCGCTTTGTCATGATATGATGTGCTTTCATAAGCGAAAGCACAAGTTTTCAATTTGATATTAATTATTTTTTGATATATAGAAATCACGTAGCTAATGTTATGGAGAAGCTTTACCCATCCTTCTACTTCCTGTTGAAAACGAAATGGCATAAAAAGGTCAGTTGGTCAGTCTATTTAAATTGGCTTTAAAACTTTTTGCATATTTGTGAATATACAAGTATTTTTGTACATAGTATTTGGTTTTGTTTTTGACATTTATGTTGCAGTAGAAGATTCTGTTTTGTTATAATTATATATACTTGTATTTCATAATTATATATACTTATTTTTCAGTATTAGCTGGAATTCATTTATTATAATAATTCATATAATAATTCATTAATGGAAAAATTAATACATAGTATAAATTAAAATAACCAAAATAGAAAAGTGATTTTTTTGGGATCACTTTTATATTCAAGAATATTTAAAAACACATTTGCGGAGCTTTCTTTCCATATTTTATTTTGTTATAAATTTCTGATTCTGTCATTTTATTACAAGAACTAATTTTTGTAATAATTATCGATTGCTTAAACAATTAAAAATGAAACCATATTTTATGGCTGATTCAATTTCGAATACAGGAAAAATCTAAATATTCTCACAATATTATATTTTTTTAATTTTAAAACTAAACTTTAACAACGATTGAATTCGAAGCATTAAGTGCTTCTGTTAAAAGGCAACATTGATTGAAAGTCTTTTTAAAGTTTCCAAAATGGAAATTTCAAATTTCAAAATTTCTATGTTAAAATATATTTAAAAAAAAGTAAAAGTAAGATAAAATTAATAAATAAAATTAAAAAAATCATTTAATTCCGTATGATGTTATGTTGACAGGCTAACAACAATATTTGGTAATTGTTCTTAATTTTGACTAATTTGTGAATGAATTTTAAAAATCTGCGTATGTGAAGGTTTTCTAGGGTTTTACATATCAGTTTATCTTCTATACCTAATCTACAAAAAAAAGTTAGATAAATTAAGTAAATCCTTTGAGAACTACTATAACTTGCATTTATGTTTAGCACGCGATCAATATCGGACAATTTTTTTCATATATACGGCTTTATGTAGTCGCTCAGGAATTGTTTTCTTAGCTTTTTTATAATTACAAACAAAACCTGGTTGTTAACTTTAACAGGCCATTGATGTGGCCAAGCATTAAATAATTAAATCAGTTTTAGAAACCCTTCTTTGTTTTGCTACTTAAACTCATTTTAATTGTTAAATTACATTTGCAATTGTCGCTGCTTGAATCGCAATTAGCACAGGCTTTAGTGTTAAGCTTGGGGCAAATCAGTTAATAAAACCGCAATAACAAATGTCTAGCCTTATTCCAGATCCCAGAGTTGGTGAGGCACGTGGGCGGGCGAGGAAATAAGTGGGCGTTGTGTACCTTTTGGCACCGAAAGAGCAACTTACTTTGGACCGCATTGATGCGTAAACAACGTAAATGCAAAGTGACGACGACAGCGAAAACATTAACAACAACAACAAAAACAAGCAGAGGCCCAACAGGACACGCTCTGGCAAAAGTTGACCTGCGGGCGTTGGTGGCTGTGGGTGGATGGCCCAGAACACTATTCGAAAGCGTTTGGGGCTGGGCGGTGGTCGGTAGTCGGGGTTTTGGGACCAACCGAGTGGAATGAATGCACGCGCAGAGCGCCAAAATTAATGCCAGGATAACCTGCTGCCAAGTCGAGTCGGGCCAAGTCAGGAGCGTTGAGGAGCATGGCGCGGCGACTGCTGCCGTCAGGCCGCTGTCACAAGTAATTAGTTGGCGACAGAGAGCAGAGTGCGTGTTGTTACCAAAACCAGTCCAGCCATTCAAGACCCCCTAGGCCACCCAACCACAAGAATTGGCGCCTAACATAGTTGTCAACAGGTTGTTACGGCATTTGTTTGCTGTTGTTTACGCGAATGCGTGCATATACATACTTGTATAAGTAACCCAACAGTGGGTGGGGTAAATATATGCATAAATCAATAGCTTAGGAATATCTTAATTTGTTAATTGGTTGCTACCTCAATTGTTCTGGAATGTTCGCAAAAATATGTAAAATATTTAAGCATAAAATCCCAAATCCTTTACATGCACTTCGATCATAAAAGTCCCTAATTTCAAGACGTTTTAAAGCGGAGGTCCACTGCTGCTTCTGTTAAAGAAGAGAGCTCTGAAAACTTCTATAGGGGACTAAAGCGGTGAATAATAGTAAAAATTATAAATATTATTTCCAAACTGAATTATATTTTTTTTTTTCTAAGTTATGGTAAAGGTGCATTTTATTTAGCAGGGTCTTTGAATGATAACATTTGAGGTAAACTCTTGATGGCTTATTTTCATTATTTTTAGCTAAATAATATTAATTTAAAGCCCTCAAAACTTAAACAATATTGGTAATTCAACCTTATCTCAAAGTACCTTTTTTTAAGAATTTATAGTACCGTGACAATTATTGAAGATCAAATTTGAATTTGAATAACATAACAAAATAATATAAATTAGGAAGTAAGAATTACCTTAAAGTCTATAATTATATTATATTTTAATAAAAGAGGAGCTGCTCTTGTTTATTTTTCAAATTTAGAACAAGGGAGAATAGTTGCTTTCATTTAAATAACTTGACCAAAAATGGTTCCTTTAAAAATATTAATATAAACTTATAAAAACTTTATAAATAACAGTTATTTTAGTATCTCTAGTACGATTATGTAAATTAAAATGCTTTATAACAACTTTAATAAATAATTAAGAGCTATTATTTATTATTACGTTAAAATGATTAATTAAATCATTCATTTCCTTTAGCAAGTTCCTTAACTGCTAATTCGTTTGAAAGAATACAAAAACTTGGTTAGAATTTCGCACGAAGATATACAATAATTTAGCCTCCAAACGAATTTTAAATATAACATTTTTTTACTAAACATACAAAGACCCTAATTTTAGCTCACTTGAGAGTCTAACTTTCCACTGCCTTCATATCGATTTCAACTCATCAATGGACAGCAATCAATGAGATATGTCACCATACTTTTGTGTTGCAGAGTATGGCGGTATATATTAATGTAAGGTATTTGTTTGCTGTGTGTGTGATGTGTGTTTATAGAGCTGTAAAGTCTAAATGTGTGCTTGTGTGTGTGTACTCGTATGTTTGACGCGGCAGTGGCCATTAGATAGAAAAAGGTTGTGTCTCTCTTGCCAATTACATGGCAAATATTTATTATGAAATTTCTATGTTAATGTTAAGTGAAGGTCAGTCACAGCCACAGTAGAGTCAGTGATGCTAGAATACACCACCACCACCACCACCACGCCAACCATCCGAACTTACTGTATCCGTAAATGAATCCGACAGCACCAATTAATTCAAAATGTTGCTAGTGACATGTTGCTGGCAACATTGGCACATGCTGCGCGCAATACAAACTGTTGCTGCCAATGTTGCTATGGCCAGTGCTCAAGCGTTGTTTTTGTTGTACAGCACATTTTATTCGTTTGTTTCGACGTGAGCGCAACGGACGCGCACGCAACTTTTTTTCAACCGTGTAACGTACATTTTGTGCAATATTCGTGTTGCGCGTAAGAGTAGTAGTTGCTGTTGTTTTTGTTGCTGTTTATTGCTGTCGTTTTTGTAACGTGGGCGTGAACTTCCGCGAACTCTTTTGCATCTTACAACTACAAGTGGATATAAACATACACACACACACACACACACACGCACGAACACATATGTGTGTGTGTCGTGAGTGCCGTGACACTTTGTGGGACTTGGGGTCGCTATCGTCCTCGTACCCGTCCTCGCCCTCGTCCTCGTCCTCGAATCGAAAAGCGATTCTTGTCAGATTTACTCGTGTGTCGTGCATTCGTCGTGAGTGCCATTGTGTTGCTGTTGCTGCTGTTGTTGTTGTTGTTGTTGCTGTTATTGCTGCCGCTTGTTGCGAATTTTCATTATTGTTTTACAATGGCCTGTACGCCGATACGTCGCAATAAACACGCATAGACAGAACAATTCAGGCAGCAGGTCCAACAACAAAGGACCACCGGCCGACCAGTTCAACTTAATACATACAAGTACAAGTATACTACAAAGTATAAAAGCATAACTCCTGTGTGCCTTTGGCTTAATACCAGCCCGGAACGTGTACGTGGCGCTTCAATCGCTCATCGGCTTAGTTGGCTGATTATCTGTTCGCAATTAATAATACGATAAATAATAAATAATTACACGGCTTTGTGCTGCAAACGGTGCGTATACTTAATGCCACTTACTTACCATTCATTTGTGTGTGGTGCTTAACACCGAATACAAATAATTAAATAATATAGTTAATTGGCAAATTTATAGTTATTATAGAAACATAAACAAGAGCATTTCGTGCGTAAACAAATCATAAATAACATTATTTTTCCTTCGCCCTGTGCGTGTGTACGAATATAGTATGTGTGTGTGTGTTTTGAAAACTCAATTTGTAAACAATTATGAATTCACAAATGGATGTAGAGAAGGGGT